ATATATATATATATATATATATATATACACACACACACTGAAATTGCAGTGATGATTTTGTTGAGTGAAGAGATCCTGGCATAATTCACATTGGTTCCACTTGACAAGCCATGAGTACTCATAAAATTTTGTGATATAAAAACTCTAATATGGAAATGAAAAAAAACTCAGAGAACTCTTAAATAAAATAAAATAAAATAAAACATATATATGATATTTGATATCTAATTTCCTCAAGTAAAGATTGTGATTCTACTGCCTCTCCTGCTCCCAATTCCCTGTCAGAATAATCTGTCTGCTTCAGAAATAATTAATTGTTGTGGGTCAATCAAGCTGCAAGTAGTAAATTCATGGAGCTAAATCTACTCAACCAACACATGCATCATCATGTGTCATGCACATCAAGGCTGCCACAGCTAGAGACAGGAGAATTCCATCCAGATTTGTGGGCAACAACCAAGACCCAAAAGTTCTTCATCCCCATTAGCTGTCTCCACAGACAAGGATTAATACCTCTCCATCAGCTCCTCCATGACCAGTTCTTCTACTCCTCCTTTGATCCACTGTTCTGACAGTCCTCGAACACATGGATTGTTCAACCACAACCTGCACCAGTTTTGTTCTTCCCTCGCCTGACAACGCTGCCTCTTCAAAGAGATCCAAATACTGGAGGTGATGCCCGAGTGTTTGACCTAGACATCTGTGTTCGGTCAAACCACAACAACAAAACCGAGCAAAAAAGAAATCATTCCACTGTAATGTGCCAAACAACAACAACAACAAGAAGAACATGCGAGTCCTCATCATGATGTAGAAAACTCGCGGCCATTGACTTCTCCGTGACCGACGCCGTGGGCTCAGACTTGAGAGGCGAGGAAACGCCAAACAGTTCACGGTGACGGACGCCGACAGCTCAACCGCGTTCGGTGGGCAGCAGCGCTGCCGGGAGAAGGTGGTCGCCGGTGGGGCACAGCTTTCATGTGAAGACGAAGCAACGCCAAACCCCACCGACCTCGCATTGCATTCATTTTCTTGCTTGCGAAGGGAAGTCTGCATGTGCGCGTGTCATAATTTTATTGGCTTAACTCCTCAACCGATTAATATGAATAATAAAAAACAAAAATCATTATATAAAATTATAGATATCTATCACTTATGTAATAATATATTTAATATTTTTAATAAAAAAATATAAATAATAAAGATTAATATTATAATAATTTATCTCAAAATTTGTGGTTTAGATGTGTAATTTTACTCCAATCTATTTTGCTTTGTGAGGAAGCGTGTTGCCATAATCCACGTGTTTTTGTTTTTAGAAACAAAAAAGATAGAAAGTTTGTTTTTTACATTTATCTCTAGAGATAAAAAAACAGATAATTGGGTAACTGCACGTAGTAGAGCGGTACACAGATCAATAGGAACCGTCTGATTCAAGGGACCCGCATCTTTCACGGCTGGAGATCAGAGATCGTGACGTTGCCGCCACCACAACAGGGTAAATTTGGCATGGCGGATCCCAAACCCCGAGCCGAGCTGAGCCGAGCGGCCTTTATAGCTCGCCTAAATCCCCCAAACCCCAAACCCAAATCCCTAATCTCATTCGGAATTCTTCATCCCCCAGCTTAATTCTTCGGATCTCTCTGCGGTAACTCTCTTCAACGCTTCCTTGAACTCGGTTTTTTTTTTTTTTGGGGCTGAAGATTGGATCTCTTAATGATAATGTGTCGTGTTAGTTGGACGTGTTCTTGATGATGAGGTAGTAAAATAGTGAGTTAGATCGGCGTCGTTTGGTGTATGGAGGGATTTCGCTCTCGAGAGCACTACCTTTGCTTGAATCCTAAGCTTACTGTCTTGCCTTGTATAAATTGAGCTGCATGTATTGTTTGGATCAGGCGGTGCTGGTGGTTCGGATCTATATAAGGTCCCTGGATCTCGAGAATTCTTCCGTGGGGTGCAGTGATCAGGAGAAAAGTAAGGATTTTGATCTGGTCGCTAGAAGAGATAAAACAAAGGTTCCTTTTTTTTTTGTTGAAAGACCCTCATTTCGTATTTGAATTACTTTGTTCTTGAAATCTTTATCTTTGGTTCTATAAGATTTTGTTGCTTGATCCCTTTGGTTCTGGTACATCGATGTTCAATGAGATCTTGAAGCATGCGGTGTAGGTTATCTAACGGATTTGAGGAATGGCGACGGAAGCAGCCAACGGTAACAATCATGTCGTGACAAAGAAGCCTCCGACCCCTTCCCCTTTGAGAAACTCCAAATTCTTTCAGGTTTGAAGCTCGGTTTCTGTCTCTGGATTTGGCTTGCTTAGTTTTGCATTTCTGGATTAAAGCATTTCTCATGTTGGTTTTAAGCTCCGATGATTCTAGATCGCTAGATCTTTGGGTAAGAAAGTTAGCTGATCTATGTTTTGTGCTAAAAGAGTTCCTTCAAGTTCAGTATAATTTACTACTTGATTTTGTGGAGCATTTGTTAACAGACTCGAGCTTTTGAAGAGTCTGGTCTCCCGCAGTATAATTTGCTGGACAAAATTGAATAATCATGTCCATCTTTGAAATTCAGGAATCATTTCCAAGATCTCATGGTCTTTGGTTTTTCTTTGTGTTGTATTTTTATTTCTCATGGAAAGAAAAAACATTCTAAGTTGACTTTGATCTTTCTTCTTGACAGTCCAACATGCGAATCTTGGTGACTGGAGGAGCTGGTTTTATTGGGTCTCATTTGGTTGACAAGCTGATGGAAAATGAGAAGAATGAGGTATGTGGTTGAACTACTTTAGCTGGACTATTGGGTTTGATATTGCTGTAATCATTGATGATAAATGAGATCATTTATCTTGGTTTTCCTGAAGAACTCATAATTTTAGGAGCCTTCTAAGATGTTTTTCTTTTCCTTCACTGGTTTATTCGATGTGTCTTAAACTGCATTAGTTAAACAAATATTTCTAAGCTTCATTGTGTCATTAATATTGCACTAGTTGTATATCAACAATCATTTTGACCTATATCTCTCTTGCTATGTCAGCCTCCTGAAGTTTTATAGTAAATTGTTCTTGTCATTTTATAGTATATGATAAACACAAATTATGTTTTTCACAGAGATAGACGCATGAGTACAAGTAGCCGATGACATGCATGACTGACTCCTCCAATGGGAGTATTTTTGTTAATATCTCTGTGAATTTGAGGTAGATGGAGATGGTTAAGAGAAGAAATGAAACAAAAAACTAAGAACCTATTGTTATGGTGTGCAAAGAAGGTCATTAGAAGTCATTTATATATTGATCAGTTATCCCGTTCACCATCTTTTTTCTAGTCAAACTTGTTAATGTAGAAAAGAACATAAACCAACTTGAAAATAATTCATTGTGTGTTCTTTTCATGTTTCCATAATATTTCTACTTACTTTTGCTTCCATGATGGAAAAGATAACATTCGGTATTTGTGTTATACATAGCCCAAAAGTGGTGGGAAACTAATTGAAACTCAAAATAAGATGACAAATAGGATGATTTTGGTGACAGTACAAGCACATTACAGTGGATTAGGTATCACATTGATTAATGATTTGGAACTAAAGCCTGAATCCCTTTGATGTGCCATTTTATCTTTTTTCATCTGTTCTTATATTGTTGCATGAACGAAACATTAATTGTTTCTGTCAAAATTATTTTTGCTTTCCTTTGATGTAAATACAAATTTTGTGTGAACTCTAGAGTAATTACATCATGTACTCAAATGATGCGCATTTCCTTCCTTTGTTGCCAGGTAATTGTTGCTGACAATTTTTTCACTGGCTCAAAGGACAATCTCAGGAAATGGATTGGTCATCCAAGATTTGAGCTGATTAGACATGGTACTTTCTCATTAGATTAAATAACAATTGAGGCATGTTGGAAGTGTATTTCCATTTTTGTAGTCTTTTTATTCACGAGACTCTTGCTTAAGTTTGTTTCTTCATATCCCTAAACAGATCTGGATATCACATGGTTTAGTAAATAATGTCTACAAATTTTTGTATGCTTTATGGAACTGCTATAAAATATCTGTAATGATAAGGAATTTACTTGGTTTCCAACTACTTTTGCATTTTGTCTTCATACCTATAAACTTCTTTGTCCATCCTGTCAGATATTACTGAACCACTGTTGGTGGAGGTTGATCAGATCTATCACTTAGCTTGCCCCGCTTCACCAATTTTCTATAAACACAATCCTGTCAAGGTAAGAGTTTCTAGATGAGACTTTTAGGAATATGTCAAATGTTAATATCAATAGTAAAAGTTTTCTATCTTGGTATCAAGGTTATACCTTTTTGTTATTCTAGCATGTTTTACATATCTTTCACTGGAAGAAAGCTCTGTGCCTTGTACCTCCATGAAACTAGTAATTTCATTTATGTATATTTGACATTTTAAAATAGACCATTTTTCGACAACTGTAACTGAACTTCTAATTGTAGAATCTTTTCCACATTTCCTGCTAGATTCTAGAAATCTATATGGTGACTGTATTTTCAAGAGAATTATACACTAACACAGTTTTCTCAATTTTCTTCAGTATTTCATCTAAAATCTTCATATTTGCATGTGTTTTCTTCATAGCCTCTTAGCAGGCTTGCAAGTTTTCTTTTGTTATGCCTTTTTTATTGTTTTGCCGGTACCAGGACACCACTAATCCCTTTTTATTTCAAACTGATGGAAACCTTCAATTATGAAGTTAACTTTCTAGTAGCTTCAATAACTTTCTCTACCATTTTTAATAGATTGTGCTGCTCTTATAGTGCAAGTTGCTGTATGCATTTTTTTTTGGAAGTTCAACTAGAATTGAAAATAACTCAAAATGATGTCTTTAACAGACTATTAAGACTAATGTGATGGGCACAATGAACATGTTGGGGCTTGCAAAGCGGGTTGGAGCAAGGTATGGTCTAATCACTACTTGTATAATTAAGAATACTAGGAGCATAAGGTATATGCATATATTTTTATTTCCCTATGTTGCAGAATTTTATTGACTTCAACCTCAGAGGTGTATGGTGATCCTCTGGAGCATCCCCAGACAGAGGAATACTGGGGAAATGTTAACCCAATTGGTACATCTGTTTCTTTCTTGCGAGTCATCGTTTATTTTCTGTCCAGCAATGTGTTGCCCCCTCACTTAAATCACCTTTATAATTGTTTTAACTTTTACATTTTTAGGAGTGAGGAGTTGCTACGATGAGGGAAAGCGAGTGGCAGAGACATTAATGTTTGATTACCATAGGCAGCATGGCATAGGTGCAGTATTGTAATCTAAGGGGCTTGTTTGAGTAATGGTTTTGTTATTGACAAGGAGTTATCAAGTCCTCCCCATCTGCTTTACATCTGTGATCATTATTCTCTACCAGAGATCCGGATTGCTAGAATCTTTAACACGTATGGACCTCGCATGAACATCGATGATGGCCGTGTTGTCAGTAACTTTATTGCTCAAGCGCTTCGGTAATCTTTTGTTCTCATCGACAATTGTACTGCATATTCCTTTGATCATGATCAATTATTTTGATCTGGTTATTATTCCATGCAGGGGTGAACCCTTGACGGTTCAAGCCCCAGGAACACAGACTCGAAGTTTCTGTTATGTCTCTGACATGGTAAAAGTTATTTTCTTCTTAATTGAGCTTATAGAGTTTAGCATTATCTGGTTTTGTCATGCTTATACATCTGATTTTCCATTTAGGTTGATGGACTTATTCGTCTCATGGAAGGAGAGAACACTGGCCCTATTAACTTAGGAAACCCTGGTAATTTCCATGATTTCCTCTTAGTTTCATGGTTGACTTGCAGTATACTCGTTCATCAAGAAGCATTCTGCTTCAGTGTGCCTCGTCTTCCTGTATTACAAGCCAAGAGGACAGGATATTGATCTGGAATTTTAGAAACTCGAAATTACTAGAAAATAGGATTCTTGAGTTTTAGACAGCAGGGCCCTTTCATCTTTGTTTCTTGAGTGACTACCTAACCACATGCTGTGAATCTCTTCGTGTTTGTGTCCTGTTCATTCGCATAACATATCATAAAGTACTGATTACTAATATGTGATGGTCAATAGGAAAACCTACCCTGATTTAGGATTTATTCTCTCATTAAGTGGGCCTTGGTACAACGGTAAGGTTGTACCTTTGCGACTTGGGAGAGTAGAGTTTGAGTCGTGAAAAGTGTTCATGATACAATAATGCGATGTTATTAATTGTTAACGTTGGGATTAATCTCTAATTGAATCTTGCATTTCCTGAAGGTGAATTTACGATGACGGAACTTGCTGAGGTAGTGAAGGAGGTAAGTTGTATTATGCACTCTGAGCAACTTTACCCTTTTCTCGTCAAATATAAAAAAAATTTACCCCTTTAATCTTTTTTTTTTCTTATTATGCTAAATGGAATAAACATCGGATTTTTTCTGACTGATTTTTTTGGTTAATTCATATGTTAGTTGTAGACAGGAAAAATAAAATAACATTTACATAGAAACTTTAAGAAAGAGTTGCACACAACACACTTTTCCTAGACTTTCCAACATGCTAATCTCTATATCATCAATGGAGACATCCCAATAACCGAGCTCTATCATGTGTTGCAGTTGATTGAGCCATCGATCTCAATCAAAATTGTTGAGAATACCCCTGATGATCCGCGTCAAAGGAAGCCTAACATCGCAAAAGCAAAACAACTTCTAGGATGGGAACCCAAGATTACCTTGCGACAGGGTCTGCCTCTAATGGAAGAGGATTTCAAGCAGCGTCTCGGCGTGTCCAAGAAAGCATAGACTCCATACACCATCTCGACGAATTGAAGTTATGCCTTGGGAAAATGTTCTACTCTCGTCTTAGAATAAATGATGTTTGGTTCCTATTTTTGATTGATTGTTAAAAGACTTTATATCTCAAGAAGGGGATTATAAAAGGATTATATTCGAGCACTGGAGAAGAAATTTGTATAAGTAGTGAAGTTTAATGATTCCAGAACATATTTGGACTTTTTTTTTATAAAGCAAAATTGTTATACAGAATAAAAATGGTTTAATCAATTCTCGTTTCGTGATGTTCTTCATTGTGGATGTGATCAAAGATGCAACTGACTCCTGGTTTCTCCCATTGAATGTCTCCTTTTCTAGCAAGTAGCAAGAACATGCAGAGTTTGCACTTCTTATCACACGCTGAACTAGAACAAACTGGGATGATGAAGCATCACTATTTGCTTGGAAAAATTTAGGACTTGTAGTCTTTAAAGATGACTGATACAGTCTGATCATACAAGGTTTTTCTTTCACGACAAAATCCAGACAAAAGTCGAAAATTGAACCGTAAGAACCATTAGACAAAATCCTACTTGCCAAGAACTGGACCCATTTACGTCGAATTAGATTAAACCTTTCTGCCAATCTAAAACATGTACTCGATCCGAACTCGATCCCAGTAATCCAAATGGATCGATTTGTCCGGGTCGAGGTTGAGACACCTGCCACCAGAGTCTGAGCCAGTCCGGTCCGGTCCAGGTAAATTTCTAGGGCACTTGTTCTCCTACCATAGATCGACCGTTGGATCACGATCTAAGGGCTCAGAGTGACAGAAATTGCTTGGGTGGAAGCATACTATATAAACCCCAGCCGCCGCGCCCTCCCTTTCTCCTCCTCTCGTCCTTCTTTGTCGAGCCAGGGTCTTGGGCGGTCCTCACCTCGCCGAGTTCGTCCTTCCGAAGGTGCGATCCTCATCGGTTTCTTGCTCTCCTCTTCCCTTGGCCTCCGCACATCCGCGATCAGATCGATGGTTGCCGTCTCATGATCTCTGTTCGATCTCTTAGTGTTCATGTATTTCATGGATTTTTCTTGTAGAGTTTCTTAGATCTGGAGTTTTGTCGCACTCTGTGTTTCTTGGTATTGCCGGTCAATATTGTTGCTTGTTTATTGGAAAGGTGTTCTTCTGTATGTAGAGACGGTGCATTCGCCATATCTAGTTTAAGGAGAAATCAAGCATTTGTCATGCTGCATTGCTTGTTTCGGCTAGTCTCTAATCCATTTGGTATGGCTTGGATGGCTGTTGTTAGTTGCCAACTGTGAAAGAACTCCTACGGTTGTGTGTTCTCGGAAGATAGGGAGAGTGGTTGGAATCATATCGTTTTGATACTTTAAACTTTTTCACTGATTTGTTAATCAAAGTGTAAAACTTGCATATTGCCTCACCAACATATACGCTTGAAAGTTACAGTTTGCTTTGCACTTAGGAACAAGTGGTTAACAATAATGGGATTGATTGAGTTCACAAAAAAGAGAATGAAAAAAATGGAAGATGAAAATTTGGCCCTAATTCCTGCTTGGCTTGCTGTACGGAAGGGGGCTCTTTTTTTTTTTGTCAACTTCAACGTTGTATGCAATTCACCATCAGAGCTGCTCTGTTTATCCTCCATTTGAAATACCTTCTTGAATAGGAATTACATATCTTACGTCTTGTTTGCATTTATACTTGGACACATGATGTGGGGGCACATGATCAAGTCTCCAAAAGATTTGGATGTGTAAAATTTGTGTTCGAGTTAGATGAGTTGCTTTTTAGTTTAATAAGCCGGTTGAAATTATGCAAAAATGTCTTGAAATTTACATCCTTCATGTGGGGGTGTTGGAAGTTCTATTTGTGATAGTTGAAGTGTTATACAAATATGATTTGATTGGAATGAGGTCTCAGGTTTAAGTGTATGATCACTACAAAAGACTCTATGGCTACCGATTGTTGCTTTATGACTGTTTTTGCCAACTAGAGGAGAGGAATACACTGTCTAAATTGGATTATGAATCATCACAGGTTTGTGTACCATGCTTGTGGTACATAATGACTGCCGCCCTCGTGGTACATAATTATAGTATTCTTTTCATGTCGATTATTTTGCACTCTTTTGGTATTCTTCACTTGTTTTATCAGTGCAAGGTATCAAATCCCTTAACTAATGTTACTGTTAATTCTTTTTTGTGCCCTCTTGTCTTTCTTGATGGTCAGATTTGGCTGCTTTTGTCCACTCTATATTGACATCTGTAAACTTGGCAGCCATTGTACATAGCAAAAGTTTAAGCCAGTATTGTTTAATTTTGTGCATATTTTGTGGGACAAATTCTAAGCTAAATGAATGATCACACATTCTATTAAGAAAGTTTTATGTTCTACACTTTATGCCACTTGGAACTACCAACTTTAAAATCAACATATATGTGATAGAATTCATACTTCAAACACTTTGATCTGAAGTAATTATTCTTTTTGGGTGGGTTAATCTGGTTGATTAAGGTTTGATTATGTTTGTAATGTTGGTTTTGAAACAGATGAATGGTTAGATAGAGTTGAAATAATAGCAGGTGCTAGACCTGAGTGAGACATGGACTTGAGTGTGCGTACTTTTGCTGGTACCTTTTCAACCATAGATAAGGTGACATGGACCTAAACCCTGCCTTGCTGAGCAAAATTATATTCCAAATTTGGGCCTAGCTGTTCATTCCATTAGGAACAGCTTAGCAATATCACTTTATTTTGGTTCATAGAAGAATCCCTTGATGCTTGGTCAAGAAATCCTGCTTGTTAAGCAATCAGAGCAGCTTAATGTTTATACTTAACCAGAGTTGCAGCCTGGGTAGCAAGTCTTGGCAAAGACTCCTTTTCTTTTAGTGGGTCATTGCGACTCCAGGTTTCTACTTTTCACCTAAATACATGTAACCAATTGTTCTTTTTACAGGCTTGATAAAGATGGTGAGAATCAGTGTTTTGAATGATGCTCTCAAGAGCATGTACAATGCTGAGAAGCGTGGGAAGCGACAGGTCATGATTAGGCCATCCTCTAAAGTGATAATCAAGTTCCTCCTTGTCATGCAGAAGCATGGTTAGTGATTCAACAATGTTTAGGTGGTGCAGCAACAAACATTTCATTATGTTGATTCTCTTGCGCATATGTTTCCTCAGGCTATATCGGTGAGTTTGAATACGTCGACGACCACAGAGCTGGTAAAATAGTTGTTGAGTTGAATGGGAGATTGAACAAGTGTGGTGTCATTAGTCCTCGCTTTGATGTGGGTGTCAAAGAGATAGAGCCATGGACTGCTAGACTGCTCCCATCACGTCAGGTAAGTCAATTCAGTTGGTTCCTGCCATAGTACTAAGTTATTCGAGTGAGTGGCATCAAGCTGTCATGATAAAAATCATTTTTAATTCCCATAATGCAGTTTGGTTACATTGTGCTGACGACATCTGCGGGAATCATGGATCATGAAGAAGCTAGAAGGAAAAATGTTGGTGGCAAAGTACTCGGCTTCTTTTACTAGACGTGGGCTTTTTATTGAGCTAGCAGATCATAAATGGAGATCCTGGTTTTCTCAGTTGGAACAATCGTATTATTTTGTTTTTCTCTTGAATGTCTTGGATTTAATTTCCATATCGAACAAGTCAGAGGCTCGCTTCCTTTTCTTTGATAGACTTGATTTATTCTATGGAACGGTGAGAATCTTTTGGTTGAAAGTTTGCTGAAATTTTGGTTCAGTTCTTGGCAAATATTTGTTATAAAACAGGATTTAAAATCTCAATCCACTACAACTCTTGGACACTAACTTGGGAGTACGTCTCTCATTCTCACTGTCATTTAGCTTCCTGTACACAGTTCTAGATGCTTTTACCCTACTGAGAGATACACTGAAGGATCTGTGCTGGTTTTGACAAGCAACTGAACTGGAATCTTAAGCATCCTCAGGCACAAAGATACCTGTCAAACCATACACTTGCTAGGTGGGGTTTCGGCTGTAAGTCTTCTCCCTCTAATCTTAAGCAGTATGATTCAAATGGAACCAAATGTGTTGTCAATGGGCAGTCAAGAGGAGTCAGCTACCGATATGTGTTCTTTCATTATATGTGCAACAGAGCCTAATACCAAATGGTGTTGCAGGGTCTACTAAGAAAAGAATTACGAAAGATCATAAGCACAAGCATGAACATGAACACCATCACTCGAGTTAATGGGGAAAGCTTGCGTGCTACTCTTCCTTTACACGCCTCACTTAGTTACATGGCTCTCTCTTTCTCTCTCCCTCTCTCTCTCTACTTCTAAGGTTTCCGTTCTTTCCTCGTCTTTGGCTTTCGTGGCACGCATCTCGTACGTGCGTCTTCTTCGACCTGCTTGCCCAAATCCATCTTCGATCCCCTGTTTGTGACACACCACGAAGTAAACAATATCAACAGCCAAATCTGCATCCACCAACTCAAAATACTATTCAGATTTCCTTTATCGCACTGATTGAGATCCATGAAAGAATCCGTATCAAGTTTTAGCTTCCTGTTTAACGCATACCTATCAGCATTGTCTGATGACGACCTCTTCAAGCTCGGAAGCTCTCCGCCTTCGCCATCGCCCACCATCTTGTCGGTCTCCACCAAGCTCCCGCTGAAGTACTCCTTGTCCTCCAGTTTAATGGCTCGGGAGCTCGGAATGCGCCCCATCGACGCGGCTCGACCGAGTCTTCCCATGTCCTGCGGCATCAGCGACAACCCGTTCGCCTTCACCGAGATGAAACCGCACGAGATCAGATGCATCAGCACCGCGGAGGCCCTCACTCTGCCGCTCAAGCAGATGCCGTCCATCCGGTCCTTGTCGTCCGGCCCGACCGCGGCGGTCCGGCGGCAGTCGGCCTTGATCAACGCTTCCAGTGTCTCCGGGCTGGATGAGGAAGGCGGCGGCGAGATCTCATCTCTGCTGAGCTCGGCGGCAGGGTTCTCCGTCACCACGGTTTTGAGCTTCTCCTCTCGCTTCTCTTCGCCGATGGGAACTCGCCACCGATGCTGCCTGTGCTCCTCGGTCTGGGTAGATGCGTCGGCGGACTTAACGGTGGGTTCGGCCTTCAGGTGGTTCTTGTAGACCTTATACTCGCTCACATCGATGGAGCTCCGAACCGCCTGCTTCGTCACGGAAGAGACGGCGGCATCATCTTGCGCGCATTTGGAGGTCTCCGAAGGCTTCTCGGAGCTGGTGGAGGAAGCGGAGCTTTCCTGGGAACCAGAGGAGGAGGAGGAAGGGATGCCGAGGTGGAGAAGCTCCGTTCCTTTGAGCACATACTCGTTGCCATGCACAGGGTGGATGAAGTCGCCTTCCGAGAGATCATGCCATACATACCCATTCTTGTAGCTCCTGATATCGCCGGAAGGCAGGGATTCAACACGATAGGCAAACGCACGAGCAGTAAGATCGTGTGGAATCACATCTCGTACCTTTTGGAAGACCAGGAGTACAACCCAGCCATGGCTGGGCCTCTGAGAACACGGAGACGGTCGACGACGTCTGCAGATGGAGCACGAAGGAGCTCAGGAGATCACAACAGAGATGAAAGAGACGAGGGCTTCTCTACCGTTGCGCTCACCTCTGAGGAAGAGCCCTTCCGAGGAGGAGACGGGGACTTCCATGAAGTGGGGGTGCTCCAAGTGCCCATTCCTCGAGAGGTAGTAAACCACCGCAGCTCTTCTCCCGGTGGTGGCTCTCGCCCTCGCCTCACCCCACACCATTCTCCTCTCTGGGCTCGTCTTCCACTCACTCCTCTGCTTCCAAGAAGGCTCAGCGCTTCCTCTAAAAGCGGCTGCCATTCTCTCTCTGGAGGTGGAACTGATAGTGGGTATCTGAGGACAACAAGGAGGCAACAAAGTGGACTCATGTGATCACTGCACATAAAGTCGAAGCATTAAAAGGGTGATCTGAAGAGGACATGATGGAAGACAAGGGCTGTGGAATCCCCGAGGAGCGCAGAAAGTTATACCCAAGTCAACCATTGGCAAGCAAAGAATCAACTCCCCTGCGACGCTTAAGCATCTCACACACAGTGACAAGGAGAAAACTGGAGGAGGAGGGCATGCATGCCATTGCCGATTTCAAAGAAAAGGTAGCGCCAGAATTTGTAGCAGCAGGTGATTGGATTAGTCAACTCTCAAGTGTGCTCTGTTGACCTTAAGCAAATTTGACTTTGTGTTCCTCTGTGTGATCATGATTTTTGAAACCGGGAACAGAGGCAACAGAATCAAACTCAAGATGCATTGTTCTTGTATGAATGTCGGCGTAGATTATGGGTTTTGTATTTGTCTTTTAGGGCTTTCCATAAGCAGTCATGTTGGAACACATGTAAGAGTCTCCCAAAGCCATGTCCATTCTTCCTGGTCATATCATCACCTACACGATCATTGTGCTGTCATCGTCGTCTCTCCTGTGAATCACATCTATTCCGTCACGCAGTACCAAGGTCATGTCCTTGCTCATATCAATTGTCTACTTGGAACATATTATAATCTTTGCTAATATCAATCTCCTCAGGTGTAGTCTCGGGGACATGGACAAATTGGCCTCAAAAGGTGGACTCCATGTGAACCTGATTTCGAAGTCAATGCAAGTGTTCGGCAGAGTACTTGTCTTGAGTCCTATTTTAAGGGCATCTTACAGCCATTGTATTATTCAAACAAGGAAGAAGACAGCTCCTTATGAAAAGGTAGCAATTCCCTCCTAATATTTTTTTCATTCACGGGATCAATTATTACTAAAAACAATGGTAAATGAGAAAAACAACAATGTATGTAGTTTTGGTTGTCTCAAAGTAAGTAATGATCAAAGATGTTATGATCACAGCGGAAGCCAACAACAGGTAATCTTTCTTGTGGCCTCGGAATGGACTGCCATCCTGTGCAGACTTGGAGAACTTCTCTGAGAGAATCTGATGCAGGCTCCACTGTCCATGCTGCATGGTGTTCATGGACCTTGAATGCTTGATCGACACCGTCACCACTCAGTAAACATGGATTTGCATCATTGAGAAACAAGTCTCCTTCGGACCTTATGCATCCACAGGTCTCTTCTTCCCTATCTGCTGCCTGCTCAAAATCCATGACCGCCACCATCTCAGCATCAAAAGCTACTAAGACCTGTACAAGCTTAGGAGATACCTTCTCAGTTAGATACATAAAGACCATCTTCCTCTCTCCTGCTTCATATATATTGCACTGAGACAAAATCTATAGGGTAGACAGTGAGAGATAACAATTCATGAAGTCCAAGAATTCATTCATTCGAGAGTAGGATTTAGTCAGACCTGTGAATCTACACTAGCACATACAGCATAGATTCCCCAGTTCCTGGTGTAGTTGTTGTAAAGATGAACTTTGCCGAATCTAACACGAGGATGTCGCTGACATGTTCCATCGAAGAAACAGTGATGAATGGTCGCACGAATGCACCTGTCGGCGACGTTACTGCTGCACCCTCCGATGAGTATCGTCTTGTTATGCTTTGAGAAGTAGCATCTGTCCATATGAGTAGAGAAGGTTACCTTCTTGGATTCTGCATGTTCTAGTTGCAGAAGATGATGTTACGGAACATTGTTTACCTTGAAACCGTGATATCAGTACTCTCACAAGTGATGTCGATTAGTCCATCAGAATAGTCGCGGAGACTACAGCGATCTATCCATATGTGCCTCGACTTGGGCTTTATCTGGATCGCATCAACGTCGTCTCCCCTTCCACCTTCGAATTCCAAGTTGCATATGATGACATGCTCACAAGCTCTCAACTGGAGTCCATTCCCCGTCACCTTAACCTTCTGTCCTCGGCCGTCGACTGTTTTATAGGATGAGACCATCAAGAATGATGACAGATGAAGAGTTCCTGAGACTTCAAACACAATCCATAGAGGTTCTTTTCTTCGACATCCTTCTCGAAGTGAACCGCATCCATCATCTGTGGAAATGCGAGGAGAAAAGAAAGGGTGTTACTTTCAACTCCACAAGCTTGGAACAATAAGCGGCACGATGAAAGATTGCTTGTTGGATTCGTGTGATCTGATGAAATGATTCATCTCGAAACACAACTAGTTTCATGAGGTGGACGATGACTCGTGTACCGATCAAACTCACGCCTCTTGCCGCATGTAGGATTGATAGGAGAATCAAGAGGATGGGAGAGAAGACAAATGTGCGGACAGCCTACCCTCTAAGCTCGTGACGTGATACAGACGTCCATGGAGTCCTCCGATGGCGTGGCGGCCGAAGCCCTCGGCCTGGCCGGCGAGGGCGCGCAGGCTGTCATCGGCATGGGCGTACGGTAGAGTCGGCATGTCATCGTCCGCGGGGGCCACACCGGGGGCGGGAGTTTGACATGGGATAGCAGAACGCAGACGAGGAGGATTTGGCGGAAGATGTATCGCCTTCAGGACTATCTACCATGGGTCCCATGACATTTCTCCAATCAGCACACGGGTATATAGAGAACCAAAAGCATACTTTAGCGCCGTTAGGTTTCGCGGGCGTTTCGGTAACGGCTGCCGGTGCAGCGCGTTTCAATCGGAGCCGTTAAATTGCATGCAACGCCCCCGTGCGGCAATGAAAACAGTCACTAATTAAAGAGACCTTAACAGCTTCCTGAGATAATAATAATTTAAATGAATATTTTGCAGTAACAAAATGAAATGACAAGATAAAAATCAAAATAAATTCTTTAGAACACTTAGTCCTGAAATCTTTGTTGGGTCAATTTTAATCCATAATTTTGCAATAAGAAAAACCCTGACAAAATTGACATATATATATATATATATATATATATATATATATTAAAGAATATATGATGAATTTAATGGGCCTCAACAGCTGGCCCATGGGCTTAAACCCGAAAAGGAAATCAAAGGTCCTTTCAAATTGCCTTTGATGAGCTTTCACCACACGAAACCCTCTCCCTCCCACGCCGCTGTTTCCCGCCCTTGGTCTCGGGCGCGACTCTCTTCCACGACCTCGCATCCCTTTCTACGATCTCGACGCCGGTTGGCGGATCCGCCTCGTCGGAGAGCAGGGGCCGAAAGGATGCGCTGCCGAGGGCGGTGGGGAGGGCCACGGAGCTCGCCTACGCTGCCGTCGCCTAAAACCGCCCACCTTTTCCCTCCTCTCCTCTCTCCCCTAAATGCATTCCATGTGAAGCTTCTGTTACCGAAGATGGCGATTCAGGTCGTATAAGTGAGCGTATTTCAGTTTATTCTACTTGTTATGGTTCCTGATCTTGTAGATTCTGGATACGCTTTCCTGCCTATGTCTCATCGACTCATTTGCTGCATGAACTGAACTTAGATTTAGGTTTTTCTTATTTTTTTTAAATCTTTATGAGAAATATATTGTATTTAAAGATTCGATAACTTTTTATTTAGAGTAGGAGTAGGGAAGGTGTTACAGTTTCTTGAGTAATCACTGTTCTTAGTTAAGGTTTGAAGGAGGTACAGATTTGCTGAACCTTAATATGCTTGGAAGTGAAGGAAAGAATCAAAAGAAACAAACTATATAAGCATAGGGATTGCTTTCTACGTGCTATGACTGCAATAACCTCTACATGAGTGAAGTATATGTGGCTATTTCTCTCTCTCTTTTTTTAAAGTTGAGTGAATTCTATGTATTTGAGGTATAGTCGATTTTTAGGAAATAAATGACTAGGATTTATTTATTAAATAAAAATAATGTTGTTTTCTTGGCCACTTGTCCTTGAACGTCTCTTCTTCCTCTATGTTGTTTCATGTCTAACCCTGTCTTCACTTCACCTGCTTCTCTGTACAATCGTCCACCCGTATCAACTAATTCTCAATTATTGTTGAGGACGCCAAATGTCAAATGAGTAAGCCACTGTTGTGGCATTATTGAAAAAGAAATCATCCTACAAGTTTCTAAGAATATAAAATTTGAATAGAGAAGGAGGCGCTTAATGAAAATTCAAAAGAGATTCTCCTCCATGATTCATCACATGAATAGTTTCCTGTCAACTCTTATTTTGCTCTGGAATTTGTGATTAATCAATAAGATTTTGCTTGCCCAGTTAGTTATACAGACTGCAACCTTGTTAACACCATAACTATGGGACAGATATCTAATCAGGTCATGGCTTTGTCTACAGAAGTGGGTCCCAGGGCCAAGGTATCCAAAATTTGGTTCGTCTCCCCACAATTTGAGGGTGGTTTGGCATAAGAAATATCAGTTCCTTGAATTTGGGTCATAATTCCTGATCTTGAACCCTGTCCTATCAGGTTTATTAGTTGGAAGTAGCAGCATCAGTTATTTTGAGAAGATCGAAGAAGAGAGGAAAAATCTGACTACTAAGTTTACAGGCTTGTTGCCAAGCTGTTATTATGATTACATCCTTGTTGCTGCCACTGATCAGAAATGAGGTTGTAAGAGGAGTGAGAAGGGCCAAGTCACTGGATTTAGCATTGACCAAATTCGGGCAAGCTGAGAATGTCATCCAATTTCTATTAATTTGACCCTAGGATAAATCCAAAACTGATGAAAAGGAATTGAGAGGAAAAGAGGAGAAATGGAGAAGAGAAGAAAAAGAAGAAAAGGAAGGAAAATGGAAGAAAAAGTTATTAACTACTGGAATGTCTCAACAGAGACAAAAAAAAAGTTATTATTTAATGGGTTTAAAAATAGTTATTTTTTTAACCATATAAGAGCCAAAAAAATTCAAAATATTAATTCTACAGTAAATATATTGATGTTTTTTAAGGTGCTTCCTTCTATTGTGTTTCTAGTGGTTAAAAGACATGTTCAAGCTAGATATATATATATATATATATATTTTTTTTTTTTTCTTATGCTCAAGTGGTTCTATTATTTTTTTGGCCATGTCCAGCTCACTGGGTCTGAAACTGCCCAGCCGATGAACAGGTCTGGCACCAAGGTTGCAAAGTTTCTTACCTGGTTGACTGAGCACTATTGGCATGACATTGTATGACAATTTATCTCAGAGTAGCCTATTGTTTGAATAGTTAATTATGAACATGCGTTGTGTTATTTGTGATAACTAGTACCAATAAGTCTGTGAGTTTGCTTTTGTGATGTCTTGTGGTAGGAGTTACCATTTAATAAGCATTAAGTGATATTTAACTTGTATATGATGCCAACAGATGTTTTTAATCGTGGACCTACATGGACAATCTCATAAGAAGCGAACAAGATGCTGTTTGAGGTTCAGAGGAAATATCCATCTATAAGATTATGTGGTATTATAGAAACTAGTAAAAGATTTTGTGAGATGATTTTTCTTAGCTTGGTTAACACACTTATCCCTTGCACCAAGAAGATGGCAAGTTTGGCCTACTCAAAACCACTTTGAATTTTTTCTGTCTGGCTGACAGCCACTATGCAGGCAACTTCTGAAAAAGAGTGTGGAAAAGATCTTTGCTAATTCTCCTTCTCTTTTACATTCTATACTTCAGCTAATAAATAAATGCTTTTATGCTTGAACAAAATTTCTTCATCAAGAAAACATGTCTAGCATCGAAGTATTTCAATGACTTTATTGAAGCACACATGGAATGCTTTTGTTGGACTCAGAAGAAAATGATATTGGTTTCTCATCAGATGCAATATTCTAGGAACCAATATGCAGTAAGATTGCTCAAGAAGAAGCATTGGATGCTGGATAGACCAATCATCTCCTGGAGGGATTGCAAATCCTTAGTTCTAGAGGTCAACAAAATCCTTCTCCAATATGGTTGAATCACAGTTATATTAAAGTTGTGTTTTTATGATCATCTATGGTCATGAATTTTGCAGGAATAGTGACATGAATTGTGAACACATAGCTTGCATATTAATTGTATTTGCACAAATCGTGACATGTTATGTCAAAAACTGTGTTCTGTGAAATCCTTAACACATATCACCTAACAATAATTGCATGTCCAGCTGTGGTCTAGTGGTATGACTATTTTGTCTGTTGACCTACTAAGATAAAAGCTTAGGACTATCAGGATGGCACCATATCCTAATTCTTCCACTTATCTTTACATGTTGCCATGAATGGATGAGAGTATAGGTACGTGACAAAGTAGGAATGCAAATCTGAAACCTGAGATTTTCATGACCACCATACAGTATTTACTATATAACTCTTCTCTGCTTGAATGTTAATATTTGTCACATAGAGCAAATTAAAATGACATTGTATCTGCATGACAATCTTAGAATAATTAGCAGCATTCATTTGAGCTTCAACATTTCTTCTCATCACAGGTTATTTCCTGTAACTGATGCTGAGACTTAGTCATTGGCAAGATCACCTCTGCATTTACTTCTCTTTCTGATAATTGCAGCATAGTTTCTCGAATTGGGATCAAATATTTGCAATCAATGATATTTCTGGGTGCACACGAACTTCAAGCTGGTGTTCTGCTGCTGTCTGGTTACATCAATGCGATACACAACTCTTGAGATGGGCCTCTGATGATTTGTGGAATATGCACATGAATGGACTCTGATTGGTTTGGTCCTGCTGATTTTGCTATGTACCAATCGACAACCGAAACAACACAGGACTATTGACCGAACGAACATACATCCTGACCAATAGGTGAGCGTCATGTCTCTTTCTAACTCTATTACCTAGTACCTCTGCAGGCATCCAAGTTCTCAGGGGAAATCATTCTCCCAGTGGCCTCGTGAGAAGTTACCTTGGACTAATTAGAGGATGCTGGTGGCCCTTAGTTTGGGTCGAAACCTGCTTGCAAGGGTAGTCCTTACAAGATTTGGTAATTCTGCAATCTTTCTCATATTTGGAAGTCTAGTTGAAAGGGAAAGGATTTGAAAGCATGTTAGTTTTATAGTACCAAATTGGGAGGGCATTTATTGAGTTATTCCCAAGGACATTAGATGTTCTGAATTGAACATCCTTTATCAGTGGAAGCGATGAGGATGAGACTTGGTACAACGATGAAGTTGCTCCTTTGTGACCTAAAAAATCAGGGTTCGAGTTACAAAAATAATTTTTTTAAATATTTAAAGATAAGATTCTGTATATTGTCCCTTCTTGGATCTTGTATTGGTGGGAGTCTCATGCATTGGGCATGCCTTTTTATTAGTGAAAATGATCAGACCCAGTGATTAACAAGCCAAAGTTGCTGCTGAAACTTTGATTGTTTCTTTCATGGTGTTCGTTATTTTATCCATTGATTATCTCTTTTACATGGGAAAAGTGGTAGGACCTATAGTCAAATGCAAGTTGACTAGCCATTGATGTGCTAAAACGTCAGGGAGCAATATGGGTTGCATTACCACAGTGTATTGCTTGGAAATGAGTGGTCCACTGGTGTGACCGAAAAATCTGCACTATATGTTTTGAGTTGGGATACCATCAACTCCTGTATGCTTCAACTCTTATTAGTTGTTTTGGGTTGGTTAGATTAATTGAAATGAAATGAAATCATTATTAGTTGCATGAGAAGAATCACAAGCTCTTTTGCAGGTCACTTTGTTCAATCTAATTAGTTCTTACTATGAGTTTGGCAACTGAACAACTAACATGGATTTGTTGCACTTGTATTTAGTACTGGCACATTGTTTCTGATTGTTGATCAGCATTTTCTATTTCAAAGAGGAGATGGATCTTAAGAATTGATCACCTTCTTGCAAAGTAGTTACATGCCATCAATGGGGAACTAAATTGGACGAACTCCTTATTTGCTGTCTTATTTATGAGGAGTCTTGGGGCTCATTTTTCATGTTCTTATCTTGGTTATTTGTTCTAACCACATGAGCTTGTATCCTGTCCTTGCAGCGACCCATTGTCTCAAATTGAATCAAAATTTGAAGGTAATTTCATCATTACATCGTCAGGTATCAATCATCCTCTTTGGTTCACTACGCACTAAACACCATTAGTGATGATCTCGTGACTGATTAAAGTGAAGGTATCGTAATTGTTTAAAGTTATGAATTATGATAGTGGCATCATTGGATTCTCAGAATGTGGAATGCTATGAGGATGGTGGTAAAGCCAAACAGTAGGATGTTAGCATTCAGGCTTTCTTTCGAATATTAGCCTCCTTTCCGCCCACATCCCAATAGCAGCTGTCTCCCCTCTATCTGCTATGTGTGCAGGAATGCTCATGAAATATGCTTTTAAAAAGTTTTAAAGTTATGATGGATAGTTTTGGCCTATATTCCTTGGTGTTTTGGTAAGGTTGTCTTTTGCAATCTCCTATTTCTATTGAAGATAGTCTCTCTATCTGTTTTTTGCATACAAATGTTATCTCATTTTGATTCTTTATAGATCCTACATTTTGTACCTATTTTATAGTTCAATTAAATAAGTGAATTGATTAATTTATAGGTAAGGATACATAAGAAAAAAAACACAAAAAGGTTCTTCAATAGATTTGACTAGAACAGTCATGTCAAATCAGGGAGTCAAATTGTCTACTGGCGACATTTGAGATGATGTCACTGTGGCTACTTTCTCTTGGTGGGACTTGGGACTCTCATTCCCTGCCATTTGGGATCAGACGCTACTCCTACACTCCACCAATCAATAGCTGACATACATGTTTCTTTTCCATGACAAATTCTTCTCTTATATATAGCATTACCATTCATGCCTGTTCATGGGTAGAGGCTAAGCAGGGGGGAAACAAGCTCATCATAGTATATGTAGAAGTGGCCCCATTGTTCAACCCTACTACTAGTCTGATCCCACATCAAACAAAAAAAAAAGAAAAAACTAGTCTGCTTATTAAGCCTTTTGCTAAACTGTAGGTTCGGCAAAACATTTTTATTTGACTCTAAATTTGGACTGGCTCAGATGGGATCTCAAGTGCTTGCCACACTGTTATTTTTTAATTCATGGAGATGTTGATTTGTTATTGTCTTTCATATCTATTGGAATACTCTAATCAAACAAATTTATGTATTGAGGAAATCAGGACTGATTAAACATGTAATTTATCTCCATATGTTAATTTTATGAATAATAATTGGCCAATTGTATCAGTTTCAAATTACTCGAAAAAATGAGAAAACAAACTTGGGAGAGACAGCTCTGTGTGTTTTTTTAAATCATGAACCAGAGTGTCTTGATTGCTTACAATGCTTATAATGTACTAATCACTCAGGTGTTTCTTCAGATTACTTTTTTGGTTCTTTTTGAGAATAATTTTCTCTGCCTTGAAAACTAATATAACGAAATTATTTCCAAGAAACAAAAAGAATAAAAATAGTTATTTTTTCATGTTCTTTTTATTTTTTGTTTCGAAAACAAAAAAGATATGCAATATTCATGAAAAAGAAGCATGAACTGTCAGTTTCTTGCCCTTCATATCTAAATAAAAGCTTGAGAGTGAAGAAGAAGATGATGCTGAACCATTCATGATTCTTAATCTTCATGCAAGTTTGTGAAAACTGCATGCCCTTTTCTTGTGCAGGGAATTTGTTCAACCAGTAAAGCAGCTCCGCCTCATCCTTTGCCACAACTACTGTCCTTGGAACCCTTGCCTTGAGCATTTGTGTGGCACATTCTTATTGATCGAAGCCTCATTCTGATTCTGCCCATAATATCAGCCCTCAAAAGGTTAGCCGAGAGATGCCTTTCTTAATGGAGATTACTATTCATTGATTGTTTCTTCATTTTGTTGGCAACTTGATAACTAAACAATATATTGATCCTTGTTCTCATAACAAATTACCCAATTTGCGGGACTCATTTGAATCAGTTCTTATGTCTCTGTACTTGAAATTTTTATCTCAAAATACAGCAGCAGCATCTGCTAAAGATGATTGAGAACAAATCAGATAGATTGTTAAAACCTTTTTAATATGAATTGGCTGGATTCTTATGCATTATTTTATATATATTTTTTAAAGAAAAGATCCTCCCATCCTCTTCCAGAATGCAAATTAGGAATCTCTTTCAGAGGAAGAAAAACAATATAAAGCATTTCAAATCCAGTTTCATGGAGCATCAAATCCAAAGCAAATTATTAGTTTAATAGAGAGTTGAGATCATACGCCTCCTTTCGGAGGAATCTGGACACCCTATGACTTGCTGATATACTCTGCTGAACGCACGAAGTCGTAATAGTCCACAAGAAAAAGTACTCCTTTGAGCTAATAACATGATACTACAACACACTCGATCTTTATAGGCCGCAGCCGAGCTCAGTGGTTACCTAAAAGGCCGGGGAGTAGTCCTACACTGATGCCGGGCCTACGTGTCTGGGACCCACCCCGTGGTCAACCCGCCACCCTCTTCCCGGGCTCGAGCTCCATTTATAGGGGGAGCCCACTCCGCCTCTCCCCTCTCCTCAACCCCAACCAGCGCTATGTTCCATTCGTTCTCCTCCTCTAATGGCGACGGCAGCCTCCACCACCCGGTCACCACCTCCTCCGTTCCTCATGGCCTCCTCCCTCTCCCCTCCTCTTCTCCCCCCGATTCGTCCTCCTTCCCCACCGGATGCTATCTCCACAGGAGCAGCAGCACCCACTCCCTGGCTTTCCACCACCAGCTTTTGAAGTCCATAGACGCGCCGCAGCCGGCCTACTCGTCGTCCCCGTCCTTCTCCTCCTGCCCTGTGAGGCGGGTCGTCAGCACCGGCGACCTCCAGGTTGCCAAAGCCTCCATATTTCTCCGTTTGCATCTGTCGAGTTCTCACTTTGGATGGTTTCTGACGCCCAAAATTGAATCTTTGATAACAGCGGATGCATGGCGTGCGAGAGACTCCCAGGGTCCGGCGATACAGCGCGGAGGAGAGGAAGGAAAGGATCGAGAGATACCGGAGCAAGCGTAACCAGAGGAACTTCCGCAAGAAGATCACTGTGCGCAGCCATCCAATCCTGACGTTCATTTCGTTTTCCTCCATCAATGGGTTTGTTACTTCATGCTCCATCTTGGATTCCAGTACGCGTGCAGGAAGACGTTGGCCGACAGCCGGCCGCGAGTGAGGGGGCGGTTCGTGAGGAACGGCGAGACGGAGACGGGGGTTGAGACCGAAACAGAGGCCGCGGCGGGGAACAGTCTCGAATGCTTTAGCTACGGCAACGACGGGCAGAACCAGAGCCGCCGCATGGGCGGCGGTAATGGCGGCGAGTGGAGCAGTCAGTTGCAGACGGCGCTGGAGACGGACGAGGAACACGAGGACTACTACGACGAGGAACTCCTCTCCATCTTCGCCGACGTCTTCTCCATGGATATCCTCTCCTGAATGCCAAAGAGAATGACGCCTCGTGGCTGCAGCTCGAGGAGACCCTGTTCTTCTCGGTGACTCTTCCATTGAGTCGATGCCACTGGATTTGTCTCCTTCCATGTCGGGTTTTCCTTGCTTTTAAGAAAGCAAGGTTTACCAATAATTAAGAGTCAAAGTTAATCTAAGGAGTCAATGGGAGCGATCCCTTCACAACCAGTAGAAGACATCTGAGTTGACCATGAATAGAAGACATCTCAGTTGATTGGAAGAAAAAACTAATTAATTTGGGAAAAGCATAGTCATCTAAGATAACATAGTATCATAAATAAAAAATAATCAACTACACATAACAACTAAGACAACATAACATCAGAAACAAAATTATCAACTACAAATGAGCACTACATGGGAATCCAGTAACAAAACATATAATCATTTAAGACAACAAAGTAAATAAACAGTTTGTACGAGTTAAAATTATTCTGAGCAATCAACGGGAGCAACCCTTGACAATGAACATAAGCCATCTGAGCTGATTGGGAGAATAAAACATTTAATTTGGAAAAGGTATAGTCATCTAGGATAATATAGTATCACAAACAAAAATTGTCAACCACACGAGCACTACATTAGAATCCAGTAACAGAGCATAGGTGATGAATCCACAAAAATTCTCTCTGTGATGTTGACCAGGACTCAGGGCGAGTAGTTACAGAGCATAGGTGGTGAATCCACAGAAACTCTCTTTTTGTGATATTTAGCACGACAAAGCATGACAACTCAGTTCTCAGACCAAACTTGTTCACACTTTCAATTTCACCTACAAATAAACAGTTTGTATGAGTCAACATTAATCTGAAGAGTCAACAGGAGCAACCCTTGACAATGAACATGAGACATCCGAGCTGATTGGGAAAAGAAAACATTTAATTTGATATAAGGTATAGCCATCTAAGACAACATAGCATTGTAAACAAAAATTGTCAACTACAAGAGCACTACATTTGAATCCAGTAACAGAGCATAGGTGATGAATCTACATAAACTCTCTTTGTGATGTTGAGCATGACAAAACATGGCTACTCAGTTGTCAAACCAAACTTGTTGACACCATCAATTTCACTTGCAAACAAACAATTTGTACGAGTCAACATTAATCTGAGTCAACGGGAGCAACGTTGACAATGAACAAAGGCATTTTAGTTGATTGGGAGAAGAAAACATTTCATTTGGAAAAGATAGTCATCTAAGATAACATAGCATCATGAATAAAAGTTGTCAGCTACACGAGCACTACATCGTAATCCAATAACAGAGAAAAGGTGGTGAATCCACAGAAACTCTCTTTTTGTGATGTTAAGTATGACAATGCATGGGAACTCGATTCTTAGACCAAAATTGTTGACACTATCAATTTCACCTTGCAAACAAACAGCTTGTATGAGTGTGTGAGAGTAGACTAAAGTGTTGAAGACATTGAACTAATGTTAATTATATTGCTAAAAGCAGAATACATCATTCTCCAAAAATTGGTAAAAACCTCATCGTATAAAACCTGCAATGTCAGGTAATCAGAGATTAATGGAAGACTATTTCATATTGTGACACTATATATTGTATGCAGAAACATGTTAATCTCAACCAACTGTTTACGATGTTACGATATGGATCAGGTAAGACAAAAATTGTTGAACTACCATGAACTAAGCATCTGCGAATCTAAATCTAATTGTCCAAGGACTACTTACTCTCAAATCCTAGAATGATGAGTGACATTATAGTGTAAAAAGAGGCACATATCGTAAGAGACAACAAAAGTCATGAACCGATAACACTCAAGGAAAAGAGCAACAGAACAGAGTAATTCATTTTTTAGCAATCTTGCTAAATGATCCTCCTGTCAATCAGGCAAACTATCATCTCAGGAAAGGTGTACTATGTTAGAACATGGAAATAACATTTATGACATCGAAGTAACAGAGTTCATCAGACCTGGAATTTATGGCATAGAGCACATACACATCAGAGAACCTTCAAGTCATTGGTGCTGTAGGATATAACTGAACCCATGCAAATTCCTCTTTGTAGCTTATACTTGATCCACAGGAAGCTGAACATGTATATACAGCAATGGTTCCCCAGTCAAGTGAATCAGGATCATTTCTCACACCAAAGTAAAAAAGCAACTGAGGCATGATCTGCAAACAGAACATGATTTATATAAGCAATTTAATTACCTGATATATTTAGACATGTGCGTTACAAGAAGATTTTCTTTAAAAAAAATCAAATTTACTGATATATCTACCCAAACATTATACAAGAAAGATGTCCACAATCTCTAATTCTTTCATAATACAGAAACAAAACATAGGAGTGACATCCCAGTTGAGATGATAGATGAAGATGAACCCACCTCACCACCATTCTTAAAAATGAATAATATGTACCCCTCGTCTTTGTAGATATCATCTTCTGTTTGAATTCCTACCCAGTTGAACTACCAGAACAGTTCAATCCATCTACCAATCGACAAGTAATTATGTTCTACTTACCATCCACTTCTTAAAACATTAAACATAGTACTGGGTAATGGGTATTACATTGAGACTTCACAATATTACATTTCATAATAATTTAACATTCGAGTACCTATCTGAAATAGACATTTGATAAGTTTTAGAGACAACACATGGATTTAAAACAAACCTGGAATTCATAGCATATAGGGCCATTGCAGTAGTTGCATTTAGGAATATTTGCTACAGAGGGGCAGCCAATTGACAAAGGCCATAGTGGTTTCGCCTTAGGATCTCGGCAATATCTGTAGAATATTACAGAAGTTCAAAATTGACATATATCCTTCAGTTTTCTTGAAAAGGAAGTGATATTAAGATATAACAAATGATTACTGCTTGTGGGTATAAATTTGGAGCATATTGATACTGTGACACATGAAAATAACAGGAAAACAAATCCTGATAGAATTCTCCATTTTTTGAGCAGTCAACACAAATCTTACTGAAAAAGAGGCAGTGACATCTATGCCAGAAGTTTATCAGGTAGAAGAAAGTTAACTGTGCAGAACCAGGAACTTCATCGTGAAACAATTTAACTCTTACCTCAACACTTGCTTAGGACATTTTGCAATTCGTTCTTGAAATGATGCCCAGGTCTTTTTCTTTTCATCAGCCTTCACGAAACTATCACATCAAATCCAATGCATATTATCTGAAAAGAAGAGGTTATATTATAACTGTAATGAGGACAAACCTCAAGCTTGTCCAACATGAACTGATATGAGTCATCTGTTTTCATATTTTTGGGCACCAATGATGTTGCACAATTATTATCTTCAAAAGCTTCCGTATCAAAAGCACATTCATCTTCTATGATAATCTCATATTCAGGCCATAGTGTACTGCAGGCAACTAAAACAACCAAACTATGTCAGTTGACATGGTGAAATAATCATATGAGAATAATATATCTATCTGACCTTTGCCCACAGCTGGAAGCCTATTGCTAGAGGAATCAGGACTTGAACTAGATGTTTCTGAGTAATTTACAATCTGACGACATTGATTTCGATGCCCTGACTTCCAATGCAAAGCCTGATATTCGAAAAGCAGAATAACTTACAATCAAGCAAAAAAGTATTTGCATAAAGAAAAACATCAATTCTGAGTACCTGATGTTTCTCAGAGCAGTAACGTGCTCTCCTACAACTACTACAAACTTTCTCCCCTTTCCATGTGCCACACCAAGAGCAAAGCGCAGCTACGGAAAAAAAAAACCACCATTAAAGCAAAAATATATATAAATATTCAAGACAAAACAATATGGTGATCTTTAAAACTAAAATCGGTAACTTTTTCAATACAAGAAAGGCTGATAAAAGGGTAGTGAAACAGGCAGGCCAAGTATAATAATTTAGATCAAGAATGGGTTCTGGAACAGCAATATCGTATCACTAGTATCATTTTGACTTTGTAGATTACTTAGAGGTACATAAAACTTGTTTTGTTCTCCATATTCTGCTATCTCTAGCTATTTATCAACTGGATATTATTCAACAATAAAATGGTCTTGATTCTTTATTCACTTCTTTTTCAAAATTATCTTCTATATAAATTGCAACATCAAGTGCAGCAACTACTGAGGTTCACGCTTTGGTATAGGAGAGCTTAGAACCTCAATGCACCTCGACCCTAACCAACATATGATATATTTACTGAAATAAAACATGAGGATTTTTTATTTGAAATTTTCAGGTTTTTTCTTCCTTATGGAGTATTCTTCCCTTCAAGTGAAGCTCATGGTTTTATGGTGTACTTCACTAAATAGTTCACTGCTATATTTCATGAGTCAATTTCTACATTTGGACTGTATGAGATGTTGGTGAACTGCTATATCTTGTGATTCCATTTCTGAATATACATATTTATTAAAAGACTTTAATGATTATTGTAGAGTGTCAATTACCTCCAACAGTCAATGGTTTGTCAATGCCATCATGCTTTGGTGGCTCACTAGAGTAGAATGGATTGCATCGAGGTAATTGGCAACGGAAGACTTTCACACTTTGTAACCATTTCATAAACAAAGAAAAGAACATAAATAAATAGAAGTAACACAAGAGTTCGATTAGAAATCAGACAAAACGTTGAACCAAAATTAACAGAAAAGACCCAGAAAGCAAAAGCTTTACAAAAACACCACCACCTTCGACAAGGATTGTCTTCTCTGCGTTTCCACTGTTCATGCTGGTCCCGAAGAAGACATGACATGGATGGGCACATAAAAACATACAAGATCCGATGAAAAGTAGAAGACTCCTCAGAAATTGGTGCATAAATCTGCAAAGTTTGGGAGCCTTTCAATTGTTCATACTTCAATATGACCAGGTAAAGAAGAAAACAGAAAGAAAACAATGATTACCTGAAGAAGGAACTGAAGAGGCTCTCCACAAAAACCACATATTCGCGACTTCTCTTGTGGCAAATCCACTGGATCCAACCATGCCTACAAATAACAGCCCTAATTATACACCCCAAACATTATAGACCGTGGATCTTTGTTGATGAATTGACCCCTACCGGAACACCTCCAGCTTTGCTTGGGAATAGATGGCGAAGAAGGAATTTAGGATTCTTGGGCTTTTCAACAAGACCTAGGGTTACATATTCCTCCACTTCTTCCTCTTCATCTCCATCATCTACATCCTCCAATTCAAATTCTTGATCACCTTCTTCATCAAGATTAGTTTCTTGAAGCGATTTCATGTCATTCATGTTGGAACCCATCCAACCGGAGCAACCTAGTGCAGTCTACGAATACGAATAAGCCAGTTGATGACCAAAAGAAGCAACAGCATCGGAAAACCAGAAACAAGAGAAAGTAAAGAACGAATGTACTAGTCATAAATCCCCATATACAAAAGCAGCTAAGTTTTGATCAACATCTTCAACAATATACACAAGAACATATGCAAGATGGCCTACAAACGGTTTCTTGAAAGAAACCCCAAAAGAAACAAAGAAAGAATCTACTACACCCCATAGGTTCCCGTACCCAAAGATTGCTAATTTTAATCAACATCTTCACAAATTATATACAAGAAAACATACAAAAGTCTTCTTTTTGTAAGAGCTAAACATACAAAAAGAAAAGATTCTTAGTCCGGTATCGATATTGGTCGGCGTACCGTACTTTCCCGATCAGAGAGAGAGAAAGAGCAGACGGGGAGGAGGAGGAGGAGGAGGAGACGCGTACCAATATGAAGAGAAGGATACAGCGATGCGGACGGGGAGACACGGCAGTGACGCGGACGAAGAGACGGGGATGAGGCGACTGAGGAGGTGACGGCGGAAGAGGAGAGGCGGCAGCGGGGGAAAAAGAGGCGGCGGCGGGGTACAGAAAGACGACACTCCGATCCCCTTGGATCGGACGGTCCAAAATCTACAATCACCCGATCTGACGGTTTTGCTCAGAGTTAAATCCGCAAGTGAAGTAACCTGAAGGCAAGCCGGGTCGTCAGAGCGACTCGGTGGGTTGGAGACTCGGTTCGGCGCGGCTCGGCTCTCCCTATATAGCAAATACGATACATCTGGTGTTGTCTTACGTCGCTTCCTTGCGCTGCTCATTTGGGGACGCGCGTTAGGGTTTGAGTTAGGGTTCTTTCGACTCGTCTCTCCGTCTGCGGGCACAGCGCGCGTAAATGGAGGAGATCACGGACGGCGTTAACAATCTCAGCGTCACCGCCGATTCCTACAAGAAGAACCGCATCCAGGTCTCAAACACCAAGAAGCCCCTCTTCTTCTACGTCAATCTTGCCAAGGTACGGAAATCCCGATTCTGCCGTCAATTCTAAACCCAACCCTAAACTTTTGCTTCGTCGATGTGGGAGTTTGCTGAGAAGAAATTTCTTTTGCCCTGCGATTTATAGGAATGAATGTTGTGGTAACGCTATTACACTATTGGTTGCAGAGGTACATGCAGCAACACAATGAGGTGGAGCTTTCAGCTCTTGGAATGGGTATCAATTCCTTGTTCTCCCACCGACCTCTGTAATATTTAAAAGTTCTATTTTTATTTTGTCTAGCGAATAATTAAACCTACTAATTCATTTGACGGCTTTTATAATCTTCAAAGTTGCAGATTTGGACTTTGTTAATGTTCAAAGGGTGTTGGAGTAGATGATTTCTTTGCTCAAGCCTAGATTTTTTGCTGTGTATTATTCTTAATTATGTGCACCATATATTATGCCTGTGGTTCTTATTGTATGCATCAAAAAAGAGAAAGTGGATTTGTCATAGCGGTTTCTATCATGCTTTTGCAACTCAATGTTTCTTTTTTTTTTATGATTTCATTTCTTATATTTCCATGTTTTATTAAATGTGTGGGTACTTGCATGTACAATGTTCTAAAAGGTGGCCCTAGTATAGGGGTTATTAGGTACCACATAGTGCATGAGAGATATGTGGTGCATATGCAGGCTCATATGCTATTAGATATTGTAATATAAAAAAATATAATCTAGTATCAGCCAAGAACATATGGAATATTCAATCATGTTGTGATGCACGACCATGCATTATGCTATTTAAGTAATGTTGTATTAGAAATGATACAAATAAGCATAAACGACATGATTATTAGATATCCATGATTATGGAGAATGCATTTGTGGTTGCATGGGCATCTACATATGCAGCTGCACCAACCAACATATATGCAGAACCATTCTTTTTGAACTTTGTATCCTACTGTTATGAATGAGTAGGTGATACAAAATGGTATGCATATACTCAAGTTGCATTTCTCACATGTTGGGCATCTGTGCCATTGAACTACTGTTATGAATGAGTAGGTGATACAAAATGGTATGCATATGCTCACGTTGCATGTTTCACATGTTGGGCATCTGTGCCACTGAAGTTGTGAAGTGCGTGTTGTTAATTTGAAGCTTTTGAAACATCGAGGACAAATGAGGATCAACTATCAGTCCAAGCATTTGGAATGAACACTATAGCTTCTAAAGCATCTTTTAGTTGTCTTCTTTACAACAGGAAATCTTGGTCCTAGGTCTTGCATTTGGTGATTTTCAGTTGTAAATCATCCTTTATTGTACTGTTTCAATGGTGTATCATGTTTGACTGCTTGACTAGTACAACAACAATAACAATGTGTTTCAATTATTTTTGACTGGTTGACTTGTTAAATATTCTGTTACATATTTTAAATTACCATCTAATGAAGCAGATGCCCCTGAATTGTTCATTGGTGAGATATAGGGATTTGAATGTTTTCATTCTGTAATCTGGGATTCTATGGGATATCCATGTTATTAGGATTCAATGAAAGTGAGACCAAAAACTACTGCAGGATCCTACATTTTACCTCAAATATGGTTTAGTTCTTTGATGGTTCCCTTACCACCAACAGTTGTCTTAAAGGCTTAAACTATTCTTTTTCACACCATATTTGCTCCAGTATTATCACCAACAATACATTTTGAGCAGAGTTGATAACATCTTGTTATGGTGTGCAATTTTGATTAAAGATTCATCCTTCCTGCTTGACACACAAACACACACACACACACAACCTACAGTTGTGTGCAATTATGGTTTAGTTCTTTGATGGTTCCCTTACCACCAACAGTTGTCTTAAAGGCTTAAACTATTCTTTTTCACACCATATTTGCTCCAGTATTATCACCAACAATACATTTTGAGCAGAGTTGATAACATCTTGTTATGGTGTGCAATTTTGATTAAAGATTCATCCTTCCTGCTTGACACACAAACACACACACACACACAACCTACACATTTGCTTAAACTACATTAATACTGACCACCTAACAATCTTCTTTACAGCCATTGCAACTGTAGTCACCATTGCAGAGATTCTCAAAAATAATGGTCTTGCTGTTGAGAAGAGTAAGATACAATACATTTTTGTCTTACCTTTTGGATTATATATTTCATAAAGCTACCAATGAGTTGGACACTAATTGCTCTGTGATGAAAAAAAAAAAAAAATCTTCAGAGATTATGACATCTACTGTTGATGTGAATGATGAATCAAGGGGGCGGCCGTTGCAGAAAGCAAAGGTATGACTTTAGTGAATTACAACCCAAGTTATAATAGTATTGATTTTGAGTCTCTCTGCGCAGATTGAGATATTGCTGGGTAAAACTGAAAAGTTCGACGAGTTGATGGCTGCAGCGGCAGAGAAAGAGGCAGGAGACGGTGAGGAGCAGAGCTGAAAGAATGAATACTTGCTCTAGTTTTTGGGTGGGCAGGAGAGTCTTGTTAGTTATTAGCTGGACTGTTCCTATGAATTAAAGAGCACTATTTGTTTTCCCCTTCATTTTCTGATTCTAGATGTTGTAGATGCCGTTGGAGTGAAATTTGTTTGGATGTCATTTTAACCGTTCTTTATCAGCCTTATGGCATCATAGTGTTCATTGTCTGGATTATGCTTGTTGGAGTTATTTAAAATATTGTGTTTATAAAGAATACAATATAAATGTTGGTTTCATGCTTCAACTTGAATTGAGAAACCTAATTTTTATCAGTCGTGTGAAAACCAAGAATCACTGGTTTTGGTGCCGTATCTGTGTCGGTGACCTGGTTAGAATATTAATGTATCGATACATAGTATAACGGTATATATATTATGGTGTTTCAAAGATTCCCTGAGGTGGAGACAAAAAGAAAAATAGGAAGTGGTGACGGAGGATAGTAGTGACAGAGAAAAATAAGGTAGTGTTCGAGGCGGGGATAGTAATGACAGAAAAATAAGGTAGTTTTCGAGGAGGACTAGTTGGTTTGTTTAAGTTGTACAGTATTCTTATGAGTTGTAAAAGGTTCTTTACGGGTTAAAAAAAATGTTTAACTCAAAATTCATAAAAGTTCACTTAAGTGTTTAGACACTATCCTAAAGGTTTATCTAGTCATGTGTCACCTGGGTAACTCTTAGGTGTTGTGTAACTCTTAGGTATTGTGTTGATTGACACTCTGTACTATGGAGCTATAAAACCTCCAAAATGATTGTTTAGATGGTCTGTTTTTAAATAATTTTACCTCTGATTGATTATTACACACAACTTCAACTTGAGTTTATAAGCCTAAAACGATCACAAAAGGTAACCAAAATAGGGTTGTCAAACCTATTGTAAGTCCTCTATATGTTATGCAAAGCATGAACAAAACTGAAAGATATGAATATACATGAGCATTACATCGAATACATTATTTATAGTTTTGTATGTGATATTCTCCCCCGCTTATTCTTTCGACGCCCTGGTCGAAGTCTTTACGGATGCTACATCTTCTCGCATTTATTGAATTTTTAATTTTTTGTTCCAGTTGCACTTTGTCACTGTTGTTGAGTAGTCAAACTTTGATCTATCATGTTACTTCAAATCACCAATAACTCTTACTTTGGTATGGAGTCGATCGAGTTGTGTTAATCCTTGTTGGTTTTTGTTGATCCTTCATATCAAGGAAAAACCATTCTTTGTTATGTACCAGTCTCCTAAACGTCTTATGTCGCTTGTGTTGGGTGGATGTCTATTAAAGTTTTAACGAGTATTTCCTCGTAAACTTTGAAGTTTTTTGAGATTTTTCCTTACAAAATTTGTCTATCAATTCGTCTTTTACTTGGTTATCGCCTTCAAATAGGTTTGCATCACCTTCGCTTATGATTGAAATTTTGTTAGAAAATGAAGCAGACAATCTATTCTCGATAGCACCGATCATCGTTAGTGAGGATTTGATAATTATTATCTTTCATTAAGTTTCTTCGAATGATATTTGAAAAGCTCCTTTATTGGATAAATATGAGAACTGGAGTATTCAAATATTTCCATTCTCTTAAGAGTTGAGAAGGTAAAGATTACACTAGTTTGCCAACCTCCTCGAGGGTTGTACTCCATGTATCGAGCTAGTTACTAACTATTGTCTACTCTTTGCTCACACTTTTGAAGCACGCAAAGTGTTTGCACTTCTTGCGTTAAGTTAACCACTGCGATTCGCTTTCTTATTGTCATCGAACTTTTGGAATACAAAAAATTTTGTCCGAAAAAAGCAAAATTTTGCCCCAACTTGAAACAAGTCACAAATAGTTTTAGTTGCTTCTAGGATTATACTGTCTTCTCCATCATTTCTATTGCTTACTTCTTTGAGTAGCAAACGACCCAAAATCCTTTCATTCTACCTATGACTCTTCTACCATATAGATTCGTTCTTCCTTGCTCCTTAGTTGATGGAAATACATACTATAACTCTTATGCATGACCTTCACCTTAGTTCCTATGCTCACGTCGATTATGTTCTCCTTTGCTTCCTTGATAGCTTTTTCATTTGATCTTGTATGTCGTATATCATCTTTTAGTGATATCTCTATTATATTTTGATCTTTGTGTGATAAACTCGGACTGTGATATCTCAATGTGTCACGACCCGAGTTTGATGAGCCAATTGGCCAATAACTTCATTTTGATCCTTCAACCACGGACCAAAATGCTTAAGCGAGAGTTAACGTGGTACACTCATTAGGCCCATATAAGCTAATCATACACATTGCCCACTTCGAATGTGGGACTAATGGGATGTTACAATATTTCCAACTCAATTAGCTTGACGTCCTCGTCAAGGCCCAACATAACCCGGATCAAACCCTAGCATAGTGCATGTGAGGTTTAACTTAGTGGTGGCTCCACGCCATGATGAATTCTCGACTCCATCGACGGGTAGCTTTTTCCTACTCGAGCCCTCTTACCCTACCCAAATGCTAGGTCGGCTCTGATACCAAATATCATGACCCTGGCCTGATGGGCCAACTGGCCTATCAACTTCGTTTGGTATAAACCACTGACCAAAATGCTTAAGCTGAAGTTGACTTCCGACGTGGGACTAATGGGATGTTACACAATGTATGGTCTCTACTACCACATCGTAGGGTCTCCTTTATATTCGATTGTGTTCATTTCTTTGGCAATCGATCTTCATTCACCTACTTTCGGGTTATACCTGGATGAAGTATAGCTCTAGGATAGTTCATCGCCTAGCAGCTCCCAAAGTCCACTGACTTCACTAAAGTTTGTGTGCCATTATTTGGATCCTGAGTCTCTGGATACCACTTCCTTTATGACAACTCGAATAGTAACACTATGACATATTCTTCAAGAGTGGTTACCTCTGCATCATCTTGTCCCGTACCAAAGCCTTTTGACCTTAATTTCGCCTTCGCAAGTTGAGTTGTCTTAGTTCCTTCGTTAAATATTTCACCAAGATAAAGTGTATGCACCTCGAAAGGTTGAGTCCACTTTATCAAAATGAAGGACCCATGTAATGATATGATCTTACTCTTGCATCTATAATAATTCATATCCTTGACCTCTATCCAAGGAAAGCTTTGTGCTTTCGCTTCATATTTCATTTTCTATGTCGATTCCCTTCGTACGACCTGAGCACTTCACCAAGTTCCAACCTAAGTTACTCTACTTCTCAATTTACATTAAGTTGATGGTGGCTTTTGCACCTATAATTTTATGGATTAGCCCTTCGTTCAGTTCGATTTTTACATCAACTCTATGTATCTTCGTTTGGTATTGTTTTGAGTTGCTCCTCCCGTTTGATCTTATAATACGTCCACCAATATATTACCTCATGCAACATATTTAATGGGTTGGAGCTGACCGCTCGATGCTAGATGGATAAGCATGTCCTTCACTAAAAACTGAAATTAAAGTGTGCCCACAGCTCGGTGAACAAAGTCGGTGTTTTGGTTTTTTTGTAGTTTTATATGCTTGATTAATTTTGTAAGGGTGTCTGTCATCTCCATGCTTCGTTTAAATGTTGGTGTAGAGACTTGGAGGCACCACCTGCTTTACTTTGTGAACTGGAGAAGCCGTCATTTTAGCTACAAGATTAATCAGAAAACCCGCATCTCAGAAGACAATTATACACAGAAAAGGGAAGAACAGAAGAAAAAGGAACTGTTCATCGGTAGTACATCCAATCTTGAACTTAATCAGAAATGACACTCTACAATGATCACAAAATTCCTTTTATCTTCTAAAGATGCCAAAATCCATAAACAAGAATGACTTGTTCGGTTCATCCATAACATCTTCATATATCTAAAACTTTGCTGACCTTTTCAGATGCAAAAATATAATCTCTTAGTTCTAATGTAAAACATAAAAAGAATAATTGTAAGAGCAAGACAAGAAACAAAAGGAAAACGGCTCCACGTGAGAAGCTCCATCAACAGTTCCAAAGAAAAATATGGCTTGAGATCTCACTCTTCATTCATGGCTTCATCCTCTTTGTTAGAAAAATCTGCTGGAATTATGCATCCTCCTCGTCGATTAAAATCTTTTTGCAAGCCTCATAGCACATAAATGAGATCCCTGCAGCAGGCACCAGCTTCATCCAGCTTGGCCCCAACCCTTTGTACAGCCCCCCAATTCCTTCCTTTTCCAATATGCTCAAGAAAGCATGAAGCATATTCTTGTAGACCTGCCTGCCACCCACAGCTCCGACTTGCATATGTTTCCGAGCAACTTCAAGTGGGAAGGTTGTGCCACTCGAAATGGCACCGGCCGCTGAACCAATCAGAAGAGTGGCGATGCTGCCTATTTCCTCTGTCTCGAATGTCTTTCTGTAGAATTTCTTTAGGGACTCGTAAGCGAAGTAGTTTGTAGCTGCATATGGCATGACTCCTATGAGACTCGGAGTCAGACCTCTGTACAGTTCTGAGGGACCCTCGTCATATACAATTTTCAGGAATGCGTGTAGAAGATTGTCATAGACATCTCTCTGCATGAATGGTAGAAATCAGACAAAAATTGTATGTGCAACATTAACATTCCTCGGAGGGCTTCACTGACCTGTATGGTTAGTCGAGTCTTGAGTAATTCTAAAGGATAAGTGCAGAGGGTTGAGCTGACTCCAGCAAATGCCCCAGCAACTAGCGAGGAGGGGACAGGAAGTTTTGGAGGTTTCCCATCCTTGGGGGTTAAAACCTTCTTAGCTGTATCATAAGCAAATAACTGCCAGGAGAATGACAAAGTTTGATAACTGTAGAAATAAGGATCATGTTGCAAGACACAGGATAGAACATGACAAAAGGAAACGATGATCAGATAATAGTATACCATAACTTAACCATGTTCAACTATCAATGGCTAGGAACCACACAAGATGACTACCAGAGACCAGATATAGATGCAACATCATATTATCATTATATTTAAAATGTGCACAATCTTACAGTCAATTAAAAACAAGGTGGTGAGAATTGGTTTACATATACACTTGCTCATCAACAAAACTTTGGTTGATCAGCTGTAGACTTGCAAGCCTATTTTCATGGTTCAGCTACCAGAGAGATGACCTATTTTCTTGAACTGAACCAAATCTTTTGGTCAAAAAATTTCAAGTCTGGAACTGAACCTGAAAACCAAGGTAATGATTGGCGCACTCCAACAGGTTGGTAATTGGTTATCTTGTTATCACATATCTTAATCATGGGAGGTGCAACTTGAAAAACCCAAACCTTAAAGCTCTTCCACAGTGGAGATTTTGAAGTTAAAATAAAAAGAAATAACTCGAATGAAGATTGGAGAGATCAAAATCCTAGCTTACATAATAGACATTGCAATTTAAAAAATGCCACGACAGACAAAATTAACTAAAAGATTGCAACAACTTCATATGAGTCCAGTAAATCTAATTAATAGAAACATCAGCACAAGAAATCTCTTGTCCTTTTCCAGAAATCTTTAATGAGAGAAAGCACAAAACAGAGCTAATAGCATACAACATAATCAACCATAACACAAGGCTATAAACTCTCATGGAAAAAAAAATAGAAATAAACTACTCAGAAATAGTATGATATCTAAGACCTGCAAACAACTATAAACTAAGAAGGAATACGTTATAAACTTATAACATTCAATTACCTCTATGGCCTTGCTTGGTGCAACACGGATGACATTGACAAAATTACCACGGAATAGTCCCTTCCAACCCTCTGTCTCCATAATTGACTGGAAGACTTCCGTTGTCGAGTTCCCATTGCTTCCGACCATAAGATGTGTCCTGATCGTTTCCAACGGTGCAACTGCAGTCCGTGACACTGCCCCAGCAATTGCTCCACTGATCAACCTTCTGAAGTGCAGGTTCCCAATTCTAATCCTTGCTTTCAGCCCACCTTTCTTCTCTTTCTTATTAGCCACCACTTCTGCTATGACATTAGTCGCTTCTGCTGCCGGCTCGGCAGGAGTCCCCAGAACACGATACCCAACATCTGGGGAAACATACTTCACATAGAGATCAGTCCCAGGCACGTTTACACTGTTATCACTGGGGTTAGGAGGATTAGGAGAAACCCCAAAGCCGACTCCCATCTGTCCAACACTCGCAAACAAGCCACCGGAGGGGTAAAGTCCCTCGTTCCATGAAAAGCCCAGCTCTGGAAAGGGGAGGAAGAAGACGTCACTCTTCTTCTCAACCGCTTGCAACCTCTTATCCGCCATTCCTATCACAAGTACAGCTCGGAATCGAATTTATGATTACAGATTCACGGCACCATATCCATCTCTCTTGAAGCTGTCAGGCAGTTGACATGGGGCAAAGAATTGACAGCAAAGTAGCCGCTTTTCAGCAATCCTGCATCGAAAAGCAATGAAATCAACAGATATAACCGATACAAGAATAAGATCGAGGTAAGTGAACAGAAAAAGGATATCGTTAGGATTACAGCCAAAAAGATAGCCTCCAGCGAAATCCATCGCTGTGCAGAACCAAGCGAAACACGGCATGAACAAAAGAAATCAGATAGGCGATGAACAACAAAAAAAAAAAACAAACAAAATCTGTCAACTGAAGACAAAGCGGCCGGGATTCAGACAGAGACACCGCTTTCCTTTATGGGATAGTCCCGAAACCAAACTGACAAAGAACAAACAAAAAAAATCGATCTTTAACCGAGGGATAATCATGAAAAGGCGCTTAAACCGCACAGATTCATGAAAAACAGCAAACTTTACCTGAAAGCTCCACCGAGACAATCCAACAGATGGCGAACTCAGGGAGAGCAAAAGAATCACGCCTTTCACAGACTAAAGCCCCCACCACTCCCCTCTTCTCGTAGTACCGTCAAATCCCTCCCGCTCCCGTCGACAACGCTGTGGAGCGGCGGGCGATAGAAGCGAAGAGGGGCTTCCCCTCCGCTACTCTTCCTGGGCCTCTCCCCACGGCTCGTTCCCCCATTTTATCCCCTTCATCGTGGGTTAAAGCAAAGACAAGCATCAATACTTTCCCACACGCCCGTAAATGCCCTCACCATGCTATCTTATTCACGACCTTTAGTGGCATCCATGAGGAGCAGAGCCAGGGGCATAATTGCAATTTTATATTATACTAAACGTTAAGTTAAGCGTCTTTCAATATGACCAAATTGGCCCCTCGGAAACAACAACTAGAACTGTTGAATGGGGGCGAATTAGTATTTCTACTCTTTTTATAAGGGTATATTAGGACTCTAATCTAATAATCCACAAAACCAAAGAATACTTGAAATAAAAAAGAAAAATTATATATTACACTATATTGTTGATTATTGGAATTGGGAGAGCCAAAGTGGCCGAAGGTGTTAACCAATTTGCATCCACAGAGATGCATTTATGGTGCACAATATATTGGAGGAAGAATAATTTGGATGCTTTCATTGAGAGCCATCAATTTGTTGAAGTGACCATATATTCTTTGCTTCTTGGCTATACAAGTTGCATAGTATAGTCATCAAGTGAATAAAGTGCATCCAAGAGAGACTCAACAATCTCAACTTGATTTAGAATTCATTGGTTTGACCACCACACTAAGAAATTTAATAATTAGGGAAAAGATTATTTTTTTATGACTCCAATATGATAGGATTGATATTTTTTTTTCGTGAATCCAGATTATTGAACATAGGAGAATATTTTCAAAATATTCTTCGGATATTCTCTTATTCGTCCACTTTTCGAAGCTCCGATTCTCAAGCGCGACTAACTCTCTCCGTTAATTTATGATCAATTCCGACACTAACAGCAATTTAAACACCAATAGAAACAACTAAAAACTAGAAATCATTTGACAATTTTATCACCTCAAGGTCTATACAGTTCAGTGAATTCAGGTTCTACTTGAGTGAATGGATTGAGTTCTCAGTTCAACCACACTTTCTAATATCAGATGCTACAAGCTTTGCCACAGCCTCTGCATGAATAGGAAGAAAAGCTTGAGGCCACACATTCTGGGATAAACTTGATATGCATCCAGGAAAATTCACAGGGAGCCAACACATTCCCTCCTCTAAGATGGGATAAAGTGGGGCCATTCAGAACACAAGCAGCAGATCACTCCTTTGTCCCCTTCTGTCTTGAAGAAATCTCAGTGATTCCTCATTTGCAAGCTTTTAACAGCAACTCTATGGACTAAATTATCTAAAAAACTTGTGTAACCAAGTTTCAACACTTGGTGAAATATAATACAACCCAGATACATAATAATTAAGCATACATCATGGTCAAGGAGATCACCTAGGTAGACTTAATTTTCTCCATGGCATCTGACAAAACAAGGACAAGGCAAAGCACAAGACATTGCTCACTTAATAGCCCCTCATCATTCTGCCAGTCTCATAAGAACCGCCAGCTACTGTTTCTTTATTGAAGATTCTTTGAGAGGTTTTCTTTATGGCTTCAGCTTGCAGTAGAAGATGTCTCATGTTCCTTTTCCTTCTTCTGTGGCTTTTCCTTCTTCACATTAAAACACTGTAACTGTTTGTTGCATGATTGTCTCAGTAAGATGTTTTTTTTTAAACTAAGAAAATCCTTTCCAGAAGCAAATGAGCTGAATAGATATCTAATAAGAAATCTTGCCTTGTTGATGCCATGTCATGAGCATCAGCTGGCCAAGAATTCATGCTGTGTTGTTCTATTGGTAGCTTATCCCTTTTCCTTCCATGAAAGATATACATTGCTAGCGTGTGATGCCACCACTTGCTGTTGCCATTGCCGTCATCCCAACTACATTGTCAAGCTCCTCTTTACTCTTTGGTGTCTCTCTCTGGGTTCCCAATGACCAGTGTAATGCTGTTGCAGGAAACTGTCGATGATTGCAAGCAAAAGTGTAAGGACAAAAGTTTCGATGGTAAAATTTAATGGAATTTCTTCTCTTTGATTTTACATATTTGATGGTAAGTAGAAGGCAAACTTAGTCTCTAGAATCTAATAGTTTGAATAATTTTGGTAATATTGTAACACATTATTATACTGCATAAGATCGACTCGTGACAAATGGTACTTTGAATCTAATAAGTTAATTATTCCGTTTCATCGACTCATGACAAATGATATCAAAGCCTATCTAGTATTGCACATGGTGCGAGGATGACACGTCACAGCATGGAGTCATCATCGGCTATAGCTCATGTGCACTATATATTACACGGGTGTACTAATAGACTTGAGCATTTTGGACCAATGATAAAATCTCAGCGAAGTTAATGGGTCAATTATCCTATCGGGCCGACTGGTGGATCGCGATAGTAATGCTTGTTCCTTACATTCCTGAATAACCAAACGATTAGGGCCTAAAGATTTTCTTTTACCTTTCGACTATGACTCATGTACACTATACATAAGTGTACTTCTTGGCCTAAGCATTTTGCGCCAATGATTCAAGCTCAACAAAGTTAATGGGTCAATTATCCCATCGGACCTGCTCATGACTTAGATAGTAATGCTTATTCATTACATTCCTGAATAGCCAAGTGATTAGGGCCCAAAGATCTTCTTTTACCTTCTTTTCTCTATACAGGAAAGGGCATCACACATCATTCAAAAATTCACAGGAAAATAATGGAGAATAACCCCAGCTGACCAAAGCTGCAATAGAATGGAACCTGCAAATGCTAGTAATAATGACTAGGAACCAAAGTGATGAACGCAAAGAACCGAAGAATCTTACGTGCTTCTCCTTGCAAAGCTTGGTCAATGACCGTCATTGGACGGAAGCAGCAAAAGAATGTTGGCTATGGGTTCGACCAGCTCGGTGCCCCATCTCCAGGCACGCCCTCGTTTGCTCCTCCCTAATCATCACAACGAAGACAAGGAATCGAGCTCAAATAACAGCAACAACGAAAAGCATACAAACCCTTGGAAATGCTAGGGTTTTAGTCGAGCGTGCAATTCGCAGAAACCAACTCCAAGAATCGCATGAACTCGGAAAACCTAAATTCATCGAGAAAAGAAACATCCCTACCAAGCAGAAACTGAAAGTGAATCGGAGATGGATGAATGGGTCGGAACTTTTGGGCTTCGATAGATGAATGTGTCGGAACCTGTAGCGGCCCATTTGGCCTGAATTGCAAGGGGATTGCGTCGAATCATACACGAGAAACGAGTAATCTCTGACTCGAAGTCGTATTTGATGTGATTACATTGGCCAAAAGTGCAAGATAAGATGGTGGGGCGTTTCGCATGTTGGGTATGACCTCTTCGGTGGAGCACTCCTTCACATTGGTTGTCCACCAGGCGTATGACATAAGTTGCAAGAGACCCAAACCCCGCCCCTTTCTATCTACGGTGCATCATGATTCAGGCTGGTGGGGTTGATGTGTGCATTCATTGTACACCCAATCATCCATTATATATCCTACTCGAAAGGTAATGACTATTTGAATTTGAATTCAAACGAGTTAACATAAATAATTATCGAATTATTATTTTTTCGGTCTCTCTCCTTATCTCAAAGAACCCAATAAAAAAAACATGCAAACAGGAAAAAGAAAGCCACGTCGTTGTCGACTGTGCAAGGTTTGGCAGCTTCCCATGCAAAGTCTTGGTCGATGTTGGTCCAATGATGAAGTAGCTGTGGACATGTATTAGCTCGTAGTTATACTCTCTGACCAGGTATGCATCTTCTTCCTCGGTTTCGTTGGTGTCGGCATCAAATCATGTCATTGACTTTGCTCCATTATGGACATATGACCACTGTGTGTAAGGCCACTGTCTACCTTAATCAAGGGCATGTTGTTCATGTATGTATGATCATCCATCATGGTGGCACGCTTCTTGAGATGCACACGAGGCCACTGATTGCTGTGATTTTTATCATCTCCTCTCTCTCTCTCTCTATCTCTCTCTTCATGGTAGGGATTGTCTAGTTCTTATCTTGATGTGAATGTAGGGCGTCATCATGTTTGGACCACGGCAATGAATTATATCAGGAACACCCAAGTGCTGAGGGAATATTTCAATTGAGCTGTATCCCTGCTCCACCCTACACCAGTAGATGATCACAGAGTTTGGGTGGATTCTCTGCATGGATCATAACCTGTTTCTCATACGGCATTATGAAAGTGTTTGGCTCCTTTTTGTTGATCTCTCTGTGCATAATCAATTCAATTCGACATTAGCAGATGTGGAAGAGATGGCTCCTCATATTAGCAGCAGCAGCAGCAGCTTGAGAAGGTAGCTTTCGGACGTGGGGTAGCAAAAGCACTTCAGTGAGACAGTATTGTGGATCACTACACCGTCAAACACCCCCTCCTCCACACAAATCTGCAGTAGAGTTCGTGCCATGGCAAGGCATGTTACGAGATTCCTTGTACGGTATAAGGGAAGGCTTCAAATCTTGCGCGTCTATAAAACGGCAGGCCATCTGCCATGGGAGCTGCAACACAAAGAGAGATCTCCACTCTACCTTCTGTGACTCTCGAAGCCCTTCGACATTGCTGAGACTTGACAGAGGTCCACATGGTGGGCTGGTCTCTTGATCTGCAGTCTTTTACTGTGTGTACTTTCGCTTACTCTTAATCATCTGCCCTGAAACCATTTCTAGGAAGGGAAGATGAGTTGGTCTGTGGCGGATGCAGTGGATTACAAGGGATCACCGGCAGACAGGACTAAGACTGGTGGTTGGATACCTGCTATGCTCATCCTAGGTCTGTCTCCCATGCATGCTGAATGAATTAGAGATGGTGCTGCTGTATCTTGAACTTGAGCAGGCCAAGCATTGACTAATTCTTTGACTTTGAATGTTTGGTCATTGTTGCAGTGATTGAAATATGCGAAAGGCTATCCACTCTGGGGATTGGAGTCAACCTGGTGACATACTTGAGTGGCACCATGCATCTTCCAAGTGCAGAATCTGCAAACGTCGTGTCCGACTTCATGGGCACATCTTTTCTTCTATGCTTGCTTGGAGGATTCCTCGCTGATGCCTACTTAGGCCGATACCTCACCGTCGCCATCTTCTCTGCGGTCCAAGCATTTGTGAGTCTAATTATCCCTCTCTCATGGCTGCTCATGCTTTTAGCTGAAGCATTTTGGCCGATGCGTGTTTCTAGTTTTACGTGGATGATGCATGCAGGGAACAGGGATGCTCACTGTGGTGACAAAATTGCCTCAGCTTCGGCCACCACCTTGCGGTAGCTCTTCGGGTGCAAGCAAATGCCACCGAGCAAATGGCTTCCAGATCGGCCTCCTGTACTTGAGCTTGTACTTGATCGCACTGGGGACCGGCGGGCTCAAATCGAGCGTTTCAGGCTTCGGCACCGACCAGTTCGACGAGAAGGACGAGAAGGAGAAGAGTCAGATGGCGTACTTCTTCAACAGGTTCTTCTTCTTCATCAGCACCGGCAGCCTGTTTGCGGTAACCGTTCTGGTCTACATCCAAGACGAGGTGGGGCGAAGTTGGTCCTACGGCATCTGTTGCATCTCCATGCTTCTTGCCGTAGTGCTGTTCTTGTCCGGCACAAGGAGATACCGATTCAAGAAGCGCTCGGGGAGCCCCATCGTTCACATTCTCCAAGTGCTCGTTGCTGCCTTCAGGAAGAGGCAGCTCAAGCACCCTGCAAACCCTGCCTTCTTGTTCGAAGACTTCCCTGAGGCCTCCAGAATCCAACACACAGATAAATTCCGGTGAGAATCACTCATCCATCTTCGCGTTGCAACATCCTCCACAGTAATGACATTCTTGTGATGTATAGTTTCCTCGACAAGGCTGCGATCGGCGAGGAATTCCATGGCAAGACCTCAACTATGAACCCTTGGAGACTTTGCTCGGTAACAAGAGTTGAGGAGGTGAAGATGATGATCCAGCTGCTACCCGTATGGGCCACGACGATCATGTTCTGGACCATATATGCTCAGATGATGACATTTTCTGTAGAACAAGCGACGACCATGGACAGATCCGTCGGTAGCTTCGGGATTCCAGCAGGGTCACTGAACGTCTTCTTCGTCAGTGCCATCTTGATCACCCTAGCGATCTATGACAGAGTCATCATGCCTGCCATGAAGAAATGGAAGGGCAAACAAGGTAAGCTGCAACGCTCGCTTTGATTCCATGAACGTTAACAGATTAGCTGTAATGCGGGTTTGGACGACAGGCTTCACCAACCTGCAAAGGATCGGTCTCGGGCTAACCTTATCCATCATGGCCATGGCGTCGGCGGCGCTCACGGAGGTGAAGAGGCTCTCGGTGGCTCGGGAAGCAGGCAAGGCTGCTGCTCCCAGAGGCGCGGCGCTGCCCATCAGCGTCTTCACGTTGGTACCGCAGTTCTTTCTCGTGGGCTCGGGGGAGGCGTTGATATACACCGGGCAGCTCGATTTCTTCATCACACGGTCACCGAAGGGGATGAAGACGATGAGCACCGGCCTCTTCCTGACCACGCTGTCACTCGGCTTCTTCCTTAGCAGCTTCATCGTCTCCATCGTGAAGAGTGTGACGGGCGGCGAGAGCGGGCAGGGATGGCTGGCTGACAACATCAACCATGGGAGGCTGGATTACTTCTATGGCCTTCTGGCCGCACTAAGCGCTCTAAACTTGGCAGCTTTTCTTTACTGCGCGACATGGATCAAACCAGAGAACGCTGGAGATGGGTTGGAGATGGCAAGTGCAGCCAAGAATTCACCTGCAGAAGACAAGTGCTAAGATATTGCTGCTAGTTCCTTGCACTATTGGGAGCTTTTCTGTCTTCTTCTTCTACATTGAGCAAAGCAGATTGGAAATGAAGTGAAGAATCTAAAGAATGGAAATGTGCTCAAACAAAGGCAGGTTTTATTGCTGACAGAATGCATGCTACTTCATGTGATGCTTGATGGATCTGCTTGTTATGGTTCCTTACAAACTCCACTAAGTGATGCAGTTTAATCCATTGAATGAAATCTATCTACTCTCCAAGAAAAACTAAAATACAATAAAAAAAGGGCTTTCTTTGATAAAACACTGAATCTGACATTAAAATACTGTAATTGTTTACATCTCTAGATTAGGGTCCTCAAACCACAAATAGAAGGATAAGGAAAACCATTTAATAAATGTGTACATATAGTAGATACAATAGTGTAAGAAATATTTTTCATTCGCATACAAATCCATGTAGAAGATAAAAGAAAGATTATAGAATAATATGAATATATTCAGAGAAGATCTATAGTATCAGTAGATTAGGTTAAGAAGACTCAAATTGAGGAAACTTTACTAGAGACAACAAAAAGAGATTTCTTACTTTTGATTTGTGTAGCCAACCTCAAACAACAGAGATCTTATGAAATGTTGCGTTGTAGGAGAAGTCTTTCACATCAGAAGGTCATTGATTAGTGCTTCTTGCTTTCTTCCACATTGCTACTCAGGTTCTTTAGGTCAAAACCTCTTCCACAGGCCCTTATTACTGGCCATAGTTTAGTATAGATACAAAATAAAGAGATAAAATAAATGAAAGCAAACATTTCCCTAAAGATGAAATAAAATAATCAGCAGTCAGTTGATACAATAAGATTAGAACAGTCACAAAAGGTTGGGGATGATTTTGCAGTCTCAACAACTGAATGGCAAAACCAGTAAAAAGTACAGTTAGGTCAATGCAAATTGTTTTCCTTCACTTCTCTTTTTCCTTATGTTGTGTTTGGCATTGGTCAATCTAAAAACAATCAGAAGCATGAATAAGAAAATGTTTTCTCATAGAACAATAGAATCCTTTTCCCTAGGAGGATTTAGGAATCAAAGTACAAGACATAGTAGCAAAAGCTTATTGTGTTTGTTGGTTCCTGCATTAGGAGTTTCAAGCAAATCATTCAAAAGATATTATTGTCTGAGACTGCAGTCTCCACTGCTTTAGTTCACTATGGCACTCTTGATGGTGAAGAAACTTAGCATGTTTCAGCATCCTTATCAGATAGGTTTTTGGAACCCATCATCTTCTATTTCTGAGGACCACAGCACCCAACATCAGTGGAAAAGACGTATGATGAAGTGTTTGACATGTGGCAGATCAGAAAAAATCTTAAACTGGGCTGCAACCAATGTCAAAGCTTTTGAATTGCCAAAGTTGAGTGGGAGTTGCATTCCCCACACAACCTATTATTTCAGAGTGAGGTGTTAAAAGTTGATCTTTTGGCATCAGCTATCCTCTTATTTCATGTATCCTAATTATATTCTTAGTTTTCACTTAGTATTACTAAAATTATATTAAAAAATCTAATACAATTGGACTATGCCACATAAATAGATGGAGTACTAAGATCATGATACAATAATGTGCTCATCAAATCAGAAATAAATCACACACAAAGAGATGATAGAATTTACAAATGATGTGATACACTAAACAATCCACTGAAATGAGATTAATAATATCTGAATATTATGTTACAAGAAACCCAACATCAATGAAGAGAGAGGGGAAAAGAAGTGTCAGAAATGGCAGACATGAGTACAGACTAGAGATAAGTCATGCCTAGCTTGTGACTTATTAGTGGATAGTGTATGTTTGCAAGGAATCTAATCTTCAAAAAATCTGCAAGAAATCTAAATCAGTGTCTTTCACCTACTCCATAATAATGTCAGATCTTTGTGGAGTACAGTCACTTGGGATGTTGCAGAATGTTGCAAAATCCAATCATGCACTCTCTCTCTCTCTCTCTCTCGGGTATAGTTTGTGAATGTGAATGTTGACTAAGATAGCTTTATTGCTTTTAACCCAAAACAGCAGTACAGAATTGTCCAAGTGGCAGTTTGGTTCCATGTTTAATCTTCCTCAAACTGTGACAATTCAGGGACAAATTTGGAGTGACATCTGAATAAGATTCCAGATAATGTTTAGTGCAAAAACAATAACTACAAATCAGAGAGGCACAACACATCCAGAGAAAAACAGTGTTATCCCCAAAGTTTCTATTTAGGAACATTCAAGATGCCTTTTATGCAGACTTCTTTCTCATAATGCTGTAGCAATGACTGCTGAGTTATGTACTGTTTAGTTGAATGCAATGGATCATCTCATCTAAATTGTAACCCAGAGGCTAAAAATAGTGGGGTCAAAAACATCATCCAAAAGAGACTACCTCAACATAACAGCATTGTATTCTACAAAGTGAAAGGTTCCATTGGCTGGCTTTGCTAGTTCCTGGAAGGAAATGGATGCAGCAAAGGTAAGGGAATCAAGATCCCCCACCAGCACATTGGAACCCTCACTACAGTGACAAGTGAAGCCTCTTGTTCAATGAGATGAGCACTTCTCTAACATGGAAAGTCCCTTCCAACTGCAGCAACAACACCAGCATTATGTGGTGTTGTTAGACAAGCACAACTTATTGGAGAATCCAACAAGCTTCCATTGCAAGAAATGAAATGCTGTGGAGTCCAAAAACTTATCACTGAAGCATGCATCTGAAAACACAACATTATACTGCTATTATTATTATCATATATCAGACATGGATATGGGGGCCAATGGTCATGAACAAGTTCATCAAAAGATTCTTAATGATGCAAACTGTCACAAGGTGGAATTCTACATGTTCCTGTACTGGAAAGAACTTATGAAGAGAGGAAGAAAGTGAATTTACTCCAATAACTTAACCTGTAAGCCCTAATTCCTTCTTATAGGATTATGAAGAGTCCTGACACAAATCATACCCTCAGCCAACATCTACTGGGAACCTCCATTTCAAGAAAAACTCATCCCTTTTGGGGCTTTAACCTGCTGAAGTTGAAGCTTTGATTTATTCTATAGATTGACCATCTTATGTAATAGGCATCTTTTATTATTAATCTTAATGTTATATTTATGTGTTGATTGTAAAATTTGAATAACATCAAATATGTCTTGAATAGGTAATGATGTCATAGGTAAAAAGGATGAAGGCCTAAAAGTAAATTTGTGTACTTTAGATTATTGAGAAGACTCAAATACACTGATATACAAGCACTATACATCTGCATTTTGAGTATACTTACGACATTTCTCCATTCCAAATTTATTTTCCAATGATATCCCTCTTCATTGACTAAGCCAATTTCCACAATGTTTTATCTACAATCCATTGAGCTAAATGTCTTATAAGAATAGTAGGAAGAGTATGAGTAATCTAACATATAAAAATTCATCAAAATACTAAGATAATTTAGGGTAAAATAGCTTCTTCTTTTTTTTTCACATTCTCTATGCTAAATGTTACAAGTACTATATAAAAACAATATATCATTTTGTTGCAGATGTCATTATAGACATCAGCTTATTCAATTTAGCTAGAAAAATATATGGCCATTACTAATTATATGCAAGTCTCAAGGGAAAAAATCAATAAGGGATGACCTTTGTCAATCATTACAAAGACAATCTGAGTTTCTTAATGCAAAAACTTCAGAATATAAATAAATAAACATAGATGGATCACTGATACACTCAATCTAAAGGTGCTATTGGATATAAGGAATAAGGAATCGTGATGCCACAGTACAACTTATGATATACCCCGGGGAGGGAGTTTAACCTGCTGCTTTACCTACCAAATTGTACAACTCTAACAGGAAGCAACTAATGGACCATTATTTGCAGAGATTTCATACCTTCCCAGATTATGACCATATAGGAAGCCCGATCTGTCTCTTGCACCTTTTCACTGCTTTGAGTCGAGGACAGGGAACCACAGCTCGACACAGAATGTTTTGGGGAAAAGGAATCTGAATCGGCTGACAAACAGTCCATATCAAATGCAGTGTTTCTCGTCAAAACCATCTGCCGAAAGCAGCCCTGTAATTAGGGTTTTAAGCCTCTCAGCACCTGGCCCAGGCCTGAGGTCAGAGACACTCCTCACTGTATACTGTAGATCATTGATAGTAGTATTCGACTTCAGTGCATCAAACCACGCACTAGGCACAAAGCCATCGGGATCACGGCCCAAGAGCTCCTTGTCAATCTTGTCAAGCACTGGGTCATCTCTGCCAAACTTCCGTGCAAATGGGGTGTTGCTGCTGACTAGCCTCGGGAAATCACTTAGGGTGAGAAAGTGAGGATGCTGCTTTGGAGGGTTGTCCCAGGATATAAAATGAAGGTCATGGTTGACAGTGGTGTTGCGGAACTCAGGGGCATTGCAGATAACTGTGTGGAAGTACCCCTCGGGGGATGACAGAAAGTTTGCGTAATACATTAGAACTGTCCTTGGAAGGTTGTCCCACCCCCATAAACAGAATTCCATGAACTGGTGAGAGAGCATCATCCAAGCAGATCCTGTTAAGAAATCAACCATTAACGCTACAACTATATGTATATCCATAATAGTTATATTATGTCATCAACATATGTTCTCTGTTAAAAAGACATTTCATTTAAGCCATAAACATATTGCAATATTTTCCAACACAACACTGGGTTCAGCTCCGAACATGTCAAAGTTTCAAGTACTCACAGAAACATCACATCACAACAAAGAATGAACCCAATGGATGCTGCTTTTATACTTGACATCCATAGTTTATTTTCTTTCTGCGAGAGACATATACTTAAGCGGATTCAGTACATTAAATATGTAACAACACCTGAATTAGTGCAATATTTGATAAGCCACAAACAGATAGATGCTTTATTAAACTTGGAAAAGAGATCAGGCATTAAAAGCTGAACATGAACTAAAGATGAGTTGAAATAATCACATTTTCTTGTTTGATATAGAACACTGTACATGAAACCTCCTTTGGGATGACATCCTTTAAAAAGATACATGAGGTAAATATTTCCACTAGGTGGTATCAAGCATATTGTCTTTATGGAATGACAGCAACTGAGATACAGCCTTAGGAATTTATACGAAACTACATACGGAAATGGTTACTGTTCATGTTTTTAAGGCACAAAGTTCTATAGCATTTGTACAC